ACAGTGTGCCATGTCCGTGCCACATTCATCTATGTCTGTTTGAGACAGAGAGAGATGTCAGGGGTAAGGGTCACACAGAGTACTACTCCCCCCCCCTTCCCACATGTGAATCCTTTTCCTATGCTCTAAGGCCCAGTGTGGAATTGGAGGGTGTGTGTCTGTCTTCAAAGCCACCCCCTTCCCCTCTGTACCCTGAAAATACTCATCTTTCCTCAAAGGGCACTAAGCAACCATATGCCTCTCTCCAGGCCTAGTCCCTCTGACTCACCAATGCACCTGCGATCGTGCAACATCCAACCCCTCTTACAGCGGAGACAACTTGAGTCTTCGGGGCCGGAGCAGCGTCCACAGGCCCGGTAGCACTCTAAGTGGGGAAGAAAACATAGTGTATCAGAAGAACAAACCCCACACACACACATCTTCCTCACCCCCAGACAGATGTGCTGGCTTAAAGGGCTTAAAGACTTGTGATTGCGGGTTGAGGGGTGAGTGAGCAAGAGGCACCCTGCGCCTCTTTATAGAAATCTACACACCAGTTCAGTGCCCAGCCACCTAGATCATACAGGAAGGAGAATGAGATCAACAGGAACTGCAGGCGCATCACTGATACTGCTGGAGCCACCTTGACACAGCAGGGAAGGATATAAAGAGGACAGTGACACTTCTCCTGAACTCCATTCCCACTTGGCAGTATAATTATACATCAGCACTGTGCGTAGCTGGGGCGACAGCAGGCCTCAGCTGTGACTGAACACTACAGAAGATTGGTTCGTCCAAGTAGACCATTTTTAAAAATAGAGAAGTCACAAGAGGGAACCTGAGCTATGTGACAGTGACAGAAATTCTGTGCCAATGCCAAGCACCAGTTTTTTAAACAATGACAATATATTGTTATTGTGGGGGGGGGGGGTTTGGCCCCTTAATCAGAACTCTCTTCAACTGTCAACTTGAAAAAAATGGTTGTTAGTTACCTCAGGGAATGGAACTCTGGGAATACAGAAGGTATAAGGATGCCTATTAGATATGAACAAGGGCACACTAATTCTGAGATGATCTTATACATTCAAACATTGCTGCTTTTGAGAAAGATGGCTTAACACTTTATTGAATAGGAAGGTTCCAGAACCCACCTCAAGGAACCAGAGTTTCAAGTAGGACCAAGGGGAGAAAAGGAAGAGCAGTGGTGGCAAGGGTAATCACTAACCAGTACATGCCAACTAGCCAGCAGGGGGCAGCAGAGCTTCCTTCACCGGGCCCTGCCCCCAATCCAGCCCAGCAGGGGGACTCTACATACCCGCACATACCAGGTGGCTGTCGTTGCGAGCTGCTTCATAGTAGCCATCTCCACACTCAGAACAGAAGGGGCCCCCGTAGCCCGTCTGGCACATGCACAGGCCAGTGCCCCCGCGTGTGCCATCACCGTCACACTGCCCGTACCCACTGCAGGGCTTCTGGGTACCCCCGGGGCAGGCTGTAGAGAGACACAGGTAAACACTACACAAGTAAACACTGGGGCCGACAAGTCCTGAGCCTCAATCCTTCTCACGCCAACTCAAGGGGGACAACCTCCCTTATCCCAAAAGATATGCAATTTCCAATAGGAAAGCAACCAACCACACCGAATGCCTCTGGTGGATGGTGGGAGTGCCAAGTCGCAGCCAACTTGTGGTGACACACACCCCCATGGGGTTTTCAAGGCAAGAGATGAACAGGGGTGGGTTTGTCACCGCCTGCCTCTGCGTCATGGCCCCGGAAGACTCCCATCCAAATTCTAACCAGGGCGCACGCTGCTTAGCTTCTGAGATGTGGGCCATCCAGGTCAGGCAAATAGATCTACCCGTTACTAAAAGCAAAGCCGCCCTAGATTTCCCCCCACTTCCACAGTACCACAGCTACAATCTCTCTCTAGCTGCCGGAGAGCGAAAAGTAGCCCCCTCCCAATGAACAACAACAGGGAGTGCTTGACAGAATCCACAGGGTCTCACCTGGCAATGTCACCGTTGCCAAAAACCCCCCCCCCAATATGGAACTTTGGGGCCCTTACTTAACCATCCATTCATTCATCCATAAGTTTAGAGCCACAGATACATGCACAAATGGCCATTGGGGGAAAACAAGATGGGAGGGCTGCATAACAACTCACGGTGGCAATCAGGCCCATAGGTGCCAGGGGAACAGCAGACTTTCATTGTGTCCATGCAGAGCCATTGGAAAAAGTCAGGATGCTTCTGCTGCCTGGGGTGGGGTGGGGGGAAGAGTCCGTTACTGCTGCCTCTTTTCCCACGCTGTCTTAACAGCAACACCCCTTTGCAGTGCCCAAGAATGGAACAACCAAGCCTAGAGAGGGAGACGTTCTACAGCACAGTCAGCTAAAAGGCAACTGTTAAAGATGGGATGCCTCCTCCCAAACTCCTGGAACACGCGGGCTTTCCATCCTTTCCATACCCACCCAAACCCATGGCTTGTCAAGACCCCGCCTTTCCACTCCCCACAGCCTGGCCCGCTCCCTGAGCTCTGTGTATCCTAGACCTCTAGTCCAGCAAGCCCCAGGCTTGGGTCCATGGAATCCCCACCCCACCCATCTCTGGGAATAGTGTGTCTCGGGGGGGGGGGCTCTTGTTGGAAAACAGGACCAGGTCATGTCAGGAGTGGCCTTGCGGTGGGCCCCCACTTTGCCACTCACTCATGGAACCACCAGTGCTCGATATGCTCCTCGCTCTTCTCCAGCAGCTGGTGACAGGCAAAGTCCGATGCGGTGCACGCACCCTCCAGCACCTCCAGCAGGCGGGTCTCGCTAGGGGGGAGAGGAGGAAACCCAGTGAGCCGCAAGGCAGAGCAAAACAGCCCTAGAAATCTGCCACCCCTCTTGGCTTCAACAGTCCTCTGCCTACTTGACGGCCCACCAACTGGGAAGGGCTGTGGTTCAGTGATAGAATATCTGCTTGGCTGGCAATGGTTCCAGGGTCAATCCCTGGCACCGCCAGCTTAGTCAGTAGGTGCTAAAGACTTCTGTCTGAGACCCCGGAGAGCTGCTGCTTGTCAGAGTAGGCAATACAGATCACGAAAGTTAGACCAAGGGCCTGACTCTGTATAAGCTTCAATTCTGGGGGAGTGAAGCCCCAGCTCAGTGGTAGGACATCTGCCTTGCACACAAAAGGTCCTGGGTTCAATCCCTGGCCTCTCCATTTGAAAGGATCAGGTAGGAAGTGATGTGAAAGATCTTTGCCTGAGACCCTGGAGAGCAGCTGCCGGTCAGAGTAGACAATACTGACCTCAATGGACCAAGGGTCTGATTGTATAAGGCGGATCCATGTGTTCTGTCAAATGAACTATTTATAAACCACTGTCCCTTTCACATAAGAGTGCCTTACTGGCCTTTCAATTCTTGCCAGAACCCCACCAAATTACCGCAAGGATGGAGCTTTCTGTGCTCAAGCAGCAAGTGTCCTAATGTGTTCGTTCTCTCTCTCTCCCCCCACCTCCAGAGTATAGTCATGAGTCAGCAATATGGCAGACGAAGGCCCTGGGGAGCCCATGGGGGACAGCTGCACTCACACAGAACAAGCAGGTCCGGCTGACACTTCCTTATCCAATTATAATCCACATAACAACACCACTGTACGATCGCTCATTACTACTCCCTCTTCTGGAAAAAAAACCCCGCTAATCCACAAGGTAAAGATGCATAGCAGGACATATTTAAAAAGTCAGAGAGGTGAGCAGGTTTTTGAGTTCATCACAGTTCTTAGTCAGGCTGGATGCTGTGCACAACGAAACAAAACACGGGAAGGCGAAAAGAGTAAACCAACACTGTGGAGCATGACAGAGAACTCACATCTGCAGGTTACCACAGTTTACATTTTGGAGTGTGGAGGGCACCTGAACCCAAAGCATTGCAGACTCTGTTCTCCAAACCCATCCCCTAATCTCCTTCTTAAAAGGGCATTTTCTCTTCCCTAAAGGGCTGAGTCTTGCCAGGCTGCTGTTTGTGATCCTGGCTCCTCACATTCCATGTGGAGAAATCCTGCCTTTTATGGAAATGGCCATAGAGAGCTAGGGTGGGAAACTAAGGGAAAGGCTTGCTTCCCCCACCTCTTCCAACAGTGGCAGGAGCAGACTTTCTAATCACATTGCAAAGCCCAGGATCAGAGCTTGGAGGCTTCCGATCCTAGGGCTGGATCCTACCAGCTTCCCTACAGTCAAGAAAGGCAGCAATTTTTATTTATTTACTTATTTTAAATTTCTACCCCGCCCTCCCGCCGAAGCGGCCCCTGTTGACCACCTAAAAGGTTACGGTACTCTGGGAACGATGGGTCCACACAGATAAAAGCCGTGAAGGACAGAAGGAGCCAGCCCCTAAGCTTTGCCGCTTGCCATTCACCTCTCTGTGGGGAAGTTTTCCTGCCTTGCTCCATTGCCCTGTAGGCTCAATAGCAGCCGGCAGGAGCCCATGTGCTTCCATCCGGCAGGTCACAGGCCTTGTTCATTTACTCTGCCAGACACTGACAGGTGTTCCTTGACGTGCTCTGTTCCTGTCCTGTCTCTCTCCCCCCCCCCCCCCCCCCCATTTTGCTGGGGCGTTTGCTTCAGGCACAAAGAAACCACCTCCTCTTCACTGTTCAGCACAGAGTCACCCACTTTATTATTGGAGAAAATACTGGCACGAAAGAAGGGGTTACACTGAGAGTTAATTAGGTCAGCCGTGCTCTTTTGGCACCAAGCACTGCTTAACCTAAATCTGGGTTAACCTTGCCTGTGCCCCACCTTTAACTATTACAAACTGTAGGCTCTGTTTCTCTCCCTCCCTTTCTTTGTAACGGCCATCCTGACGAAGGGATCTGAGGAACTCGAGAGCTTGCGTACTCTGGTGTGCGGACTCTAATCTGGAAAAACCGGGTTGATGTGACCTTGGGTCAGTCACAAGCTCTGGCACAGCTGTTCTTGAAAAAGAGCAGTTTGTGTCAGAGTTCTCTCAGCCCCACCTCACAGGGTGTCTGTTGTGGGGAGGGAAAGGGAAAGGAGTTTGTAAGCCGCTCTGAGACTCCAAGTGAAGGGCGGGGTATAAATCCAATCTCTTCTTCTTCTTCTTTAAATGGCCTTAGAATGTTGTTATGCTACGGCTGCTTTCACATTCTCTCTAATGGGCCAGAAAGGTCGACATTTTTACAGAGAGGTGCTCACACCAAGACTCTTATCTATTCCCTGCCCCACTGCCAATAATCTTGTGTTCACTTACCGGACTGCCCCTCTTATCATCCCAACAACCCTTGTCAAAAATATTCAGACTGAGCATGTAAATTGAACAGGTGTGCGTCAAGAACCTAAACTGCTTGTCATGATTAATGGAGTCTGAGTGCAGAGCGCTGCTGGCTGCTGTGTGAAACAAGATGCTGGACCAGATGGACCCCTGGCACGATCCGGCCGGGCTCTTGCTTATGTTCCTATGGCTTCCTGGACCCCACAACACACAAAGGGGATCTTTTGGGAAGAGATCAGGAGACAAAGTGGGGCAAAGAACCAGGGCTTTACTGGCAGACTCTCAGGAGTGGCTCTCAGGAGTGAACGGAGCCTCTGACAGCTCTGCCTTTCCATACGACCCATGGGAAACGCATGCACAGCTGGACCCGCACTGCTCGTTCTTCCCTAGACTTTGACTGCACTGGCAACCCATGTTGAGATGTGGCACATCAGAGCTGCAAAGGGTGAAGACGGATATCACACACACAGCACGTCCCCCCCAAGCCAGAGGGTGGGCTTCACAAAGGAGGCGACAGCTGCTTCTGACTAAGGGGTTTTCATATATTTAAATTGCCCTTTTAAACTCTGTTTGTAGCCTGAGGGCTGCTCAGAAGGGCTGATAAACATTTTGTGCTGCTTTTTAATGGTATCGCATTGTAACTGATTGCTACTAATGCCTCGCCACTGTTATACCAACTGCTTACTGGCACTTTTATCCTGGGTTTTATATCCATATTTATATCTGTCCTGTGTTAAAACTTTTACGTAAGCCGTCCCAAGCCTGCTCCGGCGGGGAGGACGGGGTATAAATCAAATAAATAAATACATTCTTTGGCTGAGCTTTAATGGTTTGATCATTTTGATGGGGTTTATGCTGGTGTTTTTTGGGTTTTTTACAGTATCTGGCTTTATTTCGTAAGCTGTTCTGATCAGGTTCTTTGGAGAGGCAGCACAGACATTTACTAAGTAAATGGGTAATCAGGGCCACTTATTTCTTTAATTCATTTGTACCCCGCCTTTCTCCCCAGTGGGGACCCAAAGCAGCTTACATCATTCTCCTCTCTTCACAGCAGCCTTGTGAGGTAGGCTAGGCTGAGAGGGTGCGGCTGGCCCAAGGCCACACTCCGCAAGACTCCATGGCATGTGTGGGGATTCCAACCTGGGTCTCGCAGATACTAGTCCAACATTCTTAACCACCACACCCCACTGGCTCCCACCTTGCACGGCTGGCTTCTGCTGAAAAGGTACAGTACAGTCCTGATAACAAACCGATACTCTTGGATAAAACATGACGAGGGTGCTTCTGCTTAGATGTAACCCATACAGAGCGGCCTGTCGTCTCTGTAAGAATATGATCTGGGACGGTCCGCTTTGAATCGCAGACCTTACCACATTGGGCAGCCCGTTCCTATCACTGTCTATTCTCCAATCTCCCACCCAAAACACTTTATTTACTTATATGCTTCCTTTATCCCCAATGGGGGCCTAAAATGGCACACCTCCTCCTTTCCTCCATTTTATCCTCATGGCAACCCTGTGAGGCAGCGGTAGAAAAGAGTAAGAGTCCAGTGGCATGCATCCTAAAGACTCACAAAATATGCGGTCGGCTAGGAGCTTTCATGAGTCACTGCTCACTTCTTCAGATACCCCCGTGAGGTAGGTTAGGCTGAGAGTGTGACTGGCCCAAGGTCACCCAGCGAGCTTCCATGGCAAAGGGGCAATTCAGACCTGAGTATCCCATCTCCTAGTCTAACACTCTAACCCCTACACCACACTGGATCTCATGGAGATTAAAAATGTCAGCTTTTCCTACACAGCGATTGGAAGGATTACTGACATAATGTATGTACGGCACTATCTGAATAGCTATTGTTATATAGAGTTTGCATCCGTAACGCTGTGGGCTAGAAACCTGTTTCACCAAAAATTAAACCAAAACCCCACAGAAGCCAAGATTCTTAGTGCTCCGCTCAATGCTGCAGCAGAGGCTGAGGTCCATTTTGAATACAGTAAATATGACCGTGCAGATTTTCCTGAGCTCCTCAGGGTGCCAGGTGAGGTCCTGCCAACTCCCAAGAAGGATGCCAGTCCGAGCACGCCGTCTGGAGCAGCATCTCGCCAATGGCCTGGCGCAGCCCAGCCCCCGGGGGTCACCTGTTTGCATATTTTGCAAGCTTCTCTTCTTCCCAGGCTGTGTTCCCGCCCCCGAAGTTCTCTCGCTGTGTCCGCTCCAGACCCTGGGAAGGCAGGAGAAGGCTCACAGCAATCCCAAAGCGAGTGCTCCCTTCCCCCACCACACCAAGCCCACCAGCCCTCTGCCCCACCGCCAGCATGCAGCGACCCACAAATCCCTGAGCTTTGCAACGGAGCAAATGTTGTGCTATCGCAGCAACACCGGCTACAGCCAGACGCCCTTCCCCCAAACAGGAGCCAGAAGGGAACCGGTTACTAGTGCTCCACACTAAGCGCTCCTCTGTCCCTAACTCTGCATCCCAATCCAGAAACCTTTGCCGGCCTCCCACCTTGTTGAAGTTGCTGGTAAGATCCCGGCAAGTCTGACAGGGCTCTTTCTGGGAAATCCCCGGGCCTGGAATCCACAGATGCAGCAGGAGAAATAAGAGCGCTGCAGGCGGAACCCTCCACCGGGGCAAAGCCATCTTTATGCCAAGGAGAAGGCTGGAGAAAGAGAGGGGAGGAGTCATGAAGTGGGTAGTGTTAGTGAAGAAACGGATGAGAGAATTTAATTTAGATATTTTATACCCCGCTTTCCTCCTCAATAAGGACCCCAAAGGGGTTTACAACGTCATTTTCTCCTCCTCTGGTTTACCTCACAACAACTGTTCTGAGAGGTAAGTTACTCACTCAGCAAGCTTCCATAACAGAAGGGAGATTTGAACCCGAGTCTCCCAGATCCTAGCCTGACACTCTAGCCACTACAACAGACTACTGGTGGTCCCTGGGCAGTGCTTATGCAGCAGCTCATGCTATGGGCTTGTTCTCCATCTAAGCCCCCGCCCCCGTCCCCCAAACTCTGGAAGAATGGGTCTCGCTCCCAACCTCAGAAATTCTGGAAGTGAAAATTCCCCTCACGCTGGGCTGGAATGAGTATCATTAAGGCAAAAATACACTACTTTATTAGTGAATTAAGAGGGAAAAGGCCTATCTGGAAATCACATCCTGACTGGGAAGCCCACTGGCCCAAGATGAACCCGGGCAAATGGGACCTTCCATAGCAGCCCTCTACAACTTGCGATTCACTCACTGAACCTAGTGTAGGCCACCAACCACAATCAACGTTCTGTTTGTTCCTGCTCACCTGGGACTGCAAAGACACCCCTTTGCACATCACTTGGGATGGATCTCAGGCATGCAGTGACAGCAAAGAGGGCAGTGCCTACTCTCCTCTCCCCGAGGCAGGGTTGCCCACCTCGGGCCACCAACAGCAATGGCATGGGAGCGGACGGTACGAATGCCACACCTGTCACCTCTGCCCGCCAAGTGTGGTGCCCCAAACAGCTGCTTGGGTGGCAAATCAGTCCTGACCTCTGTGTAACACTAGGAAGACGTAGTCTAGTTGGGTGGAGTCCACCTGTGGCATCGCAGTCTGTACCCAACTCTACAGAAACAGTACCAGTTGCTGGGAAAGAGGTAAGGACAGAAAAGTCTTTCTTTAGCAGAAACCACAATGCAAGTGCATCAGTATTTCACATCTCCTCCACAAACCCCATTATCGGCAGATGCTGAAGGGGAAGTTCTCCGTGAACAGTGCCCATTTCTGAATCATATTTTGGGGGGAAGGTGGACAATCCTGAGTACAGAAGCAGTAATGGGACATGGCACTGCTCTCTCTCAGCATTACACACAGTGCAAACCTAAACAGAGTTACAGCCTTGTAAATCCACTACAGCCAATGTGTTTATAAAGGTATAACTGTTCAGGATTGAACTGACAGCCTCCCAACTTGGGAGGGACAGTGCAGAAATATGGGTGTATTTCAGTTACTACAGCAGGTTTAAAAGCACACAGATACAAGATCCCAGTACCACCCAATTTGAGCACCACAAGCCAGCACAAATATAACACTTCTGAAAGCTATCAAGGCTCAAGACTCTACCCAGCTCTTTCCTGTCTAGACAGGAAATGGGAAAACCCAAGAAGGCACGGGGCGTAGGTATCAATCCCAGGACTGCAGCCCATGGGTTCCTTAAGCGTTCAAAGTGCAGCCACTTTATATAGGCACACAGATTCTGGTGCCTGCACCCTACACACCCTTTGTTTGGGTTAAGACGCTGAACTGCAGGCTGTGGAAGGTCATTAGTTCAGCAGTTCGAGACCCGGGTGTGCCGCATGATGGAGTGAGCTCCCGTCTCTAGTTCCAGCTCCTGCCAACCTAGCAGTTCGAAAGCAAGAAATTGCAAGTAGATAAATAGGTACTATGGTGGGAAGGTAACAGCGTTCCGTGCGCCTTGGTGTTTAGTCATGCCGGCCACATGACCACGGAAACGTCTTCGGACAGCGCTGGCTCTTCGGCTTTGAAACGGAGATGAGCACCGCAACCCTAGAGTCGGATTCGACTGGCTTTCAAGCAAGGGAACCTTTACCTTTACCTATAACTGCAACCCTCTGGCTCTGTGTTCAAAACCACTGAGTCGATCGGTGGAATTTTTCGTTGTTGTTGTAGATTTTCCGGGCTGTATGGCCATGGCCTTTTAACACAGCAGACTGTTTGAAGCACAAGAGATGACTGATTTCAATTTAGCAGTTTGGAGTAACAGGCCTAACCCTTTCATAGTCTCTAAATCTACCCAGCTGCAAGAGGAAGGCGGCAATCCTTTCCACACTTACTTGGAAAGATGTCCCAGCTAGGGTTGCTAGCCTCCATGTGGGACCTGGGGATCCCCTGGAATTACTGCTCATCTCCAGACTACAGAGATCAGTTCCCCCGGAGAAAATAGATGCTTTGGAGGGTGGACTCTATGGCATTGTACCCCACTGAGGTCCCTGTCCTCGCAGGCTCCATCCCCAAATCTCCAGGAGTTTCCTAACCTGGATCTGGCAACCCCATCCCCCGCTGGTGGCCAGGAGGGACCTGGCAACCCAAAGTCTCACTGTACTCCGTGGAGCTTCAAAACATGCGCAGGATCTGCGTCGCCCCAGATCTCGCCCCAGGCCCAAACGAGGGAAGGTCCGGACGAGGGGAAGGGGTGTCAAATCCCTTCCCGAGGCCGGGGGAGTAAGCCTGCACCATTTCAGTGCAGCCTCCAGGAGAGGGGCGAGACCGTAGCCTACGTGGGGGAGCCAGGGCGGAGGAAGCCCAGCCCAGCCCAGCCCAGCCACCACCCCCTGCCAATGTCTCCAGATGGCCGTCCCAGCCCCCCGGGTTCGCGTTTCCTCTGCTCTCCCCCAGGGGCGCTCGACACCTACCTTTCCTCGCCCCCGCTCGCCCCCTGGGGAGCCTGCGCGGGGCAGCAGGGGCAAGGCCGGCGGGACTCGCAGCGCCCTGTTTTGCCCAGGGGTCGATGGCCGCGGCAGAAAAGCGCCCCCTCCCCGCCTGCCCAACAGACCGCAGTCGGCCGGCCCGGCCCGCCTCTCCGCCAATAGCATCGGTCCGTATGCAGTGACGTCAACTTCTTCACCCAAAGCTCTGCCAATGGGCGAGCTCCGCGCCGGGCTCCGCAGAACAGCACCTGCTGGGAAGCTTCAAGAGGCCGCTTGGCGGAAGGCTGCGGTTAGACGCGGAGGAGGGGCCAGACGGCGCCTCTGCAGCAGAGAGCGAAGGGAGTCGGTCCGGCGCAGCCGCAGCGTCGCTGTCATTCCTCTCTGGAGGAACGCAAGATCCTTTGCACGCTGGGATCTGTATTTTTCTCTGTCATACCTGTGTTTTGTGGTTAACAATTACTGGTTTCAGGATTTTTGAATTTTTAAAGAATGATATGGTAATTACTCGCATGCCTTTCCTCCAGGGAGTTCAGTACGTTGTCATCCTTTTCTCCATTTTATCTGCACAACAACCCTGTGAGATTAGATACCGTAGGCTAGGGGGAATGACCGGCCCAAGGTCACACCCATTGAGTTTCATGGCAGATGTGGTGGGCTTGAACCTAATTCTCTCCAGTGCCAGTCCGGCAGCATCCTAATTACTGTACCAGTTTACAGTCACATCATACATCCATATATGAATGGCATGTTTCATATTCTGGGATCTCCCCTCCCCCAGCCACTATTCTTTTGGAGAGCGGAAGTGGTATTTGCTTTTGTCAGAGGGCAATTTGGGATGTGGTACATTTCCTTTGAGCTTTCCACTGCAGTCCCAAGGTGTGTTTCCTGGATAGTCGTGGCCACTTCATATCCCAATGGTCTGTGTGAATTTTTGTGCCACTGTGCATCATTTTTACACTCACCTGTGTTTGAATGATCTCATTTGTAGTCAGGGGTCATTTCGTAGAAAAAGAGGTGCGGGAGCTCATTAGCATAACGTATTAGCATAACTTATTTGCATATGCCACACCCCCTGACATCACCGGGAGTGTGTCAGAAGGCAACACCCACAGCTCAGGCTCCACTGGGCTGTCTTGGATTGCTAGCTATGGGGGGGGGGGCGTGCAGATCTGTCCTCCCAGAGAAGGGAGAGCTCGTACCTGAATAAACCTTGGTCTTAAAGGTGCCACTGGACTGTTTTGGACCGGGGCACTGGGGGGGGGGTCCTCTGCAACTTACCTGGTTGCTCCTTGCTCTGACTGAGGGCTGCTGAGAGCAGGGGGCGGGGCTTGTTGCATGTGCCCGCCCCCTGGGCTCTTTACTGCCGGAGCTCCGTTCCTGTGCGCTCCTGCAGAAAATGACCCCTGTTTGTAATTCTATTTATGCACATAGTCTGCTTCAGTATTCACGACGCTAGATGGTCTGGTGTCCACAAATCAGACTACCTCTCTGCTCAACTTCAACTCAGAATCATGTATGAATAGATTAAAAAGCCTCAGTCCTAATACATACCTTGGGGAACCCACTGGTTACTTTTTTTCATTTATGCAAGCTATTTATTCCAAGTCTTCTTCATTAACAAATTATTCTCTGTGCCAGCCAGCTAATAACATTTGCACTGAGCTGCTGTTTTTCTTCCAGTTACAGGAAATTTAAGCTCGGGTGGAAGTGCGAGCCTGAGCTTCTGTTAAGGGAGGCTTTAAAAAGTGTCCAAGCACCCTGAAGAGCTGACCCTCCTCATCCAGCTATTTCAACTTTAAGAAACTATCTCTTTTGAAATTAAGCATGACTTTGTTGGACTTTTGGGGACAACTTTCCTCTGACATATATATGTTGAATTTCATAGCACTACAGTCTGACCATACATGAGATCCTGGACACCACTTAAAAGTGAACGTTTGCAGCCCCCCCCCTTCCCCCATATAAACTGCTCCATGGGTTAATTCTTCTGAGGCAGTGTCGTTTGGCCTATCTAGAAATTTTGTCTTTTTGTCATAATCTACATTTACCCTGAGAGTCTCAGGGTAGTTGATGGAACTCCGTATAACCTTTTCTCCCTGTTTTTTTTCTCCATCTCCAGATTATTTGTAGAGTTTTGGTTAAGAAGGTAATCGTATATCCAGTGGCTTAGAGGTTAAGATGCTGAGCTGCAGACCAGAAGGTCTGTAGTTCAGCAGTTCAAGACCCTAGCATCGCATAACGGAGTGAGCTCCCAATTCTGGCCCCAGCTCCTGCCAACCTAGCAGTTCAAAAGCAAGAAACCAAGTAGACAAATGGGTACTGCTTCGATGGGAAGGTAAAACATTCTGTGCACCTTGGGGTTTAGTCATGCCGACCACATGACCACGGAAACATCTTTGGACAGCGCTGGCTCTTCGGCTTGGAAACAGAAATGAGCACCACCCCCTAGAGTCGGATTCAACTAGCTTTCGAGCAAGGGAAACCTTTACCTTTACACTATATTGGGGGGGGGGAATGGAATTTCCACTCCTGGTGATTCCAAACAAAAGTTTTGGTCCTTTTTAGTGTATTAGACTCAATGTTCTCTTTGACACGTGGAGCCTTCTCTGCCCTTTGTATTGATTTCATATCCAGCAATAACTATATCCCACTGATTTTCACTGTTCTACCAGGTTTTCCATTATATGTATATTCTCAATTCAGTTCCAATCATCCCTGTCTTTGCGTAGACGCGCCTGGCATCAGCATGTAGACAGATACATTGTGTTCTTCTCCAGCTGTCTTTTTGTATGCTATTATTTCCTATGACTCTTTGGTCGCTATAAAAGCCCGGAGAGATGAATAGTTCTGAAGCAGGCGCTCAACTGCTCTTTGTTGGTTCCTCCCCATAAAGCACTTTGAATTTCCCTCTGCTACATTTTTGGTGTTAAATGCCACCATTCTACTTCAGGTGAGGCCTGTGCCTTTTGTTCACGCTCTGTTACCAACCTTCAGGTAGAGCCTACAGATCTCCCGTAACTGCAACTGATCTCCAGACAACAGAGATCAGTTCCCCTGGAGAAAATGGCAGCTTTGGAGGGCGAACTCTATGGCAAAATACCCAGCTGAGGTCCCTCTGCCCCCAAAACTCCATGTATTTCCTAGCTTGGACTTGGCAACCCTAACTAGTCCTTAAATTCACAAGGAAAGTTCCTGGTGGGTAAGGTTGCCAGCTCTGAGTTGGGAAATACCTGGAGATTGGGGGGGGGGGGAGTGAGGCCGGGGAGGGGGCCTCAGCAGGGTATAATGATGCCACAGAGTCCACCCTCCAAAGCAGCCATTTTCTCAAGGGGGAACTGATCTTGGTCATCTGGAGACCAACTGCAATAGTGGTAGGTTCCCAGGTGTGACCTGGAGGTTGGCAAGCCTACTGGTGTGCCATTGCCCAGAAGGACACCGATGACCTGGAACAAGCGGAGCCATACAGCACAGCATTCCCCTAAGCTTAGACCTGGGCCATGGCAACAATAGGGCATCGGGGGTAGGCTTACCCGCTGCTAAGGCTCCACCTGTCGCCATCATCATTGCAGCCCAGATCTGAGCCAAGCAGATCCTGCACCACTGCCAGAGCCCCAGGGACCACTTGGCTGCCTTTGCTCTAACATCCCAGTCTGCTCCTAAGCAATATTCCCTCTTAAGCTGTGGAGTCTTATGAGCAAAAGGTTCTACTTTGTAGACTACTGGCATAAAAATTGTGAGCACGTGATTTGGTTTAGTTTGTTCTTGGGGCATCCTTCCTGAGCTAAGACAAAAATGTGTGAGCCAGAGGCTAAGAAACTGTGAGCCAGCTCACACTAACTCAGCTTAGAGGGAACACTGTTCCTGAGTGACATCCCTGCGTTGAGACATCATTGCTCTGACTGGATGGTTGCACACCGCATAGTCTGAAAAGCCTGTCTCGGAATTCCTGAACCTCTAATCTCTCTGCTAACTAATCAAAGATGGCTTCTGTAAACAATAGTTCTGAATCTCAATTGTGCTGCTGGGATGGATACTGAGATGTCATGGGGTACGATGGACAGAGTGGTGGGCTCAGGTCCGGTCTACACTCGAAACAGACAGAGATGCTAAAATAGCAGCTGGGTGCTGAGGCAGCAAAATGAAATGCACTGCTGCAGACGGCAGATGATCGATTGTGTTTTTCAGAGTTTCCTCTCCATAAAGCTATCATACCGTGCAAAGAGCTTTATTCCCAAGGTAGCTGTGGTTTTATCTGTGAGGAGTTCTTACATGGGGGAGCACTAAAAACGCGACTCTCTCGCCTCTTGCAGTTTCAAGTGGTGTATCTGGTTTGATCACCTCTGGATTCTTACCACTGCTGCGTATGTGGCCCGAGCTTCTCTGACTAGGAAGATCCACATTGGAATCTTCACTCAGCCAGAAAGCCTTGGGGCAGTCATTATCTTTGAACCTCCCTTCCTCCTACTAGGGTTGCAGGTGCCCCCTAGCCACTGGGGGGGGGGAGGGGACAGGGCTGCCAGCTCCAGGCTGGGAAACTCCTGGAGATTTGGGGGTGGAGCCTGGGGAGAACAGTGCGCTTTGCACATGCGCCAAGGAACTCCCAGGGAGGGCCAGGGCTTCCTCCACTAAAGCACAGCTCTCGCAGGTAAGACTTGGCAACCCTATGTGCAAGCTAGACACATCAAAGTCTCAGGGGACCTCCCCGAGATGCTCCTTTACATGCCCTCCAAGTTGTTGCTTTGAAGTTTTGTAAACATTTTGATTGAGTGGAGACAGTCTGGGAATGTATCCGTCCATGAACTGGCACGAACTTCCATGAACAACTTGAAAGTTCGTGGAAAGTTTGTGCGAGGCACCCTGCCATGAACTTGACTTTGTGTAATGTATTCTGTGCTGCCTAGAATGCATTAAGATGGTTGTGAATCATCTCATAAGGAAGCAATGTTAAGCTTCGTCTTGAACAGGGATTGAAGTTCAAGACTACTGCGTCCAATCAGGTTCAAATGTGTATAAGCGGGAAAGACTCTGATTGGTCCTTACTGTCTCAACCTGATAGGTTGTTTAACTGTATAGTAGGCGTGGCTATATTAGCCGGGAATGTTTAAATACCGAGCAGCTGCAATGGGAAGCTGTTCGGGCTATCAGAGAAGTTGTACCGTGTCAGAGAAGTTGATCGTCGAGCTGAAATAAACCTGAGTTTTGCTGAATCACTCTCTGACTATTTTGTTAAGCACGGACTTAACACTTTGCAAAGCATGAACCACGCAAAATTTGTCACGAAAGTTTGTCAGCCAGTTCATGCCCAGCCCTAATCCTTAATGTGTAGTAAAGGAGATGCCAGGGCTCACATCTATCTACAACTACAGCTTCCCCCTCTGTTCCATCTGGGTTACAAGAAAGACCGTCTCCCCGGTGTTGTGGCAAAAGGCAGCAATGTGTAGCTAGCAGCTATAGGCGGAAGTGAAAAGTTTTGGCACTTCTTGGTATGAATCTCCCGCATTTGTCTGCAAAAACTGCCCCCCCCCCTTTTACTCAAAATCACACGGCTGCTTAGATGCACATTCCTTAAAACACAGATAGAAAAAAAATAACATAAATTTTATTGGGAAATTAGAATTTTAGGTTCGGTCTCATAAAATACTTCATAACGGGTTGTGTTGTCATGGCAACATGAAACTGACATCCCCCTGTCTCTGTGGTTGGGCAACCGTGATATTAGTGGCCAGTGTGGAGTAGAGGTTAGAGTGCTGGACTATTATAAAAAAGACAGGGGTTCAAATCCCCAGTCAGCCACAAAGCTCACTGGGTACCCTTAGGACAGTGACCCTCTCTCTCAGCCTAACCTACCTTACAGGGTTGTTGTGATGGTAAAGCAGGAGAGGCAATACCTTGTATGCTGCCCTGAGCTCCTTGGAGCGAAAGCAGGATAAAAATGTTAAATTGTATGGATTTATTTAAAAAAAAAAAAGAGTTTGGTCCCAAATATGTCAACAGCATTGGCTGGCGACTGAACCCTGCTGCTGTAAGAGACTGCATTGGAGTTAGGGCACCTCTCAAACTCATGATTTTAAAATAATATGCTTAGGGCTGGTCTTCCAAGAGGTGCAGCTGATTCAACATATCTAAGTTCAGAGGGTTTTTTTAAATGCTTTGATTCCCATGATGCTTAAAGGCTGTCAGATTAGTTTAAAAGGAAATAACCTGCATCGAGAATAGGAGTTGCTTCTTCCTGAGTCAGTTCAATAACTTATCTAAGACAATGCCCTGTAAGCAGTCTGCCAGCAGCTCTCCAGCACATATACGTTCCAGCCCTCTGACGTCTTAACTGGAGGTTACAAGAACCGAACTCGGGACTTACTGCATGCCATGCAAGACCCCTAGCACTGAATGGTGACTCCTAAACCAAATACCACATTCCTCTGAACCTCTAAGAGGACAGGGAACAGGAACCAATGTTGGGCTCAAATTTTTAGATATTTATACCCCACCTTTGTCCCCACTGGGGACCCAAAAGTGGCCTACAACATCATTCACCCTTCCTCTGTTTTACCACCACAATAACAACCCTGAGAGGTGCGTTAGGCTGAGACGGAGTGACTGGCCCAGTGAGTTTCCATGGCCATGTGGGAATTCGAACCTGAACCTCCCAGATCTTAAGTCCACATCCTGTGAATGTAAGTACATGAAGATACTGTCAAAGGCAGCCTTCCTTAAGGCCAGTACTCCACCCCACCTCAATCAAACCAAAAGGAAGACTGAGATCTGTAGTTAATCTGGTAGCACCCAGTCTTCCGGAGATCTGCGTTCAAACAAGATGGCGGGTTTGGGGAAGCTGTGTGAAATTATAGCATCTTTCAAGACCCCAGGATCAGTCCACTCAACTGAGAAGTGGACCAGCCCATGCTTTCACCTGCTGCCCCAGGGATCACCACCTGTTCCATCGAGAGTTGCCGATCATGGCAACCAGTGGGAGAACGGAGGTGAATAATAACTGTGGGGGGAAGGTAATCTTTGTTGCCGCACGATGACATCACTTCCAGAGCAACCTGGAAGGGCCAGCATTGCACCAGGGTGGTGCTCTAGTAGCACAAGCTCCAAAACTCTATGGTTTCCACAGTTTCTGGGCAAGTGCTAGAGCATCACCCCAATGTGATGCTAGTGCTTCTGGGTCGTGCTGGAAGTGACATCATCACGCAGCAACAAAGATCACCCCTCTCACCCTTTTTGCCAGTCTGCTTTCCACCCGCTGATCAGATGGGTGGGCCTCAAAAAAGAATTACTGGAAGTTTGCCCACCATTAGCAGGCACCTGGTTAGCCTATCCGTGCATTTGCTGCTCATGTTCACATGATTATAACAAAATGATATCCGATTCTGCCCTTTCTGTGCCAGTGGCCACAGATGGAAGGTACAGGAGGCAATGATGCTGAGAAGAAAAAGAGGAAGTATCTGGAGAATATGGTGTGGCCTGCAGTTCACATACTGAAAACAAGGGCCTAGGGCAGTGATAGGATTTTTAAAACTACAACATTGCCTAAACTGATACCTTACACAGTTGAAAGGCTTTGCCATAATATGCTGGTGCTCAGTTTCTTAGTCCCAACAAAATCTGAACTGAGCAGGGGTCAGGGACAAGCACAGACCTTCTCTCGCGGTTGCCTTTTCCTCCCTAGAAAGCTTTCCCCTGGGGCTAAAATACTTTTATTCCATTCATTTATGCCATGCCTTTCTCCCCAGTGGGGGACCCAAAGCACCCGACATCATTCTCCTCTCCTCCATTTTGTCCTTACAACAACCCTGTGAGGTAAGTTAAGCTAAGAGAGTGTGACTGGCCCAAGGTCACCCAGAGAGCTTTTATGGCCCGAGTGGGGATTCGAACCTGGGTCTCCCAGCTGCTAATCTGACATCCCCAATCTGACACACTACACCACACTGGCTTCCTCTTAAGTGCTGGTTCGCCTGCCACCTCACAGCAGAGTCCCTGAAGTCAGAACACCAGCTAAGAACACGAAGCTGCTTCGCTGCCTCAGAGCAAGGCCTGTCTGGCTCCAGAAGCAGGCAGAAAGACGCCTTCGGGAGTACAGAGCCAAAACACGTGAAGGGGATGTTTGTTCTCTTCCTTTTCATCCCCAGCATCTGGTATTCAGAGGTATACCTATAACATGTACTTTCCTGGACATGCCGACAGGCTCTCCTTCATTCATCCTTTGAAGCACAATAAATACAAAAAGCAGGGGGGCCTCACATGACAGCAGGACCTCTCAACAAGCTCACATGTACACCTAGGTATCCCGGCCCATCACATGGACACCTGTCTCTTGGACAGCCCACGCATACACACTGCTGTATCCTCAAGGCTCCCTGTCCACGGGGTGGGAACAACAGCAGACACGTCCAGTGCCAGAGCTAGGCCGCTTGTCCAAGGTGCCAGCATGGAGTCTTCATGTCCATGTGCTCAGCCATGGATTGTTAGCGACGTGGGGCAACCACAGCCCAGTATCCGAAATTCAGGACTCTGTGCCAGGACAGCCACTGGCCCCTTTCATCCGTGCATCGCCCAGTTCGGAAGGCAGCAAGGGCGTCTGCTGCCAGCTTGGCCTCTTTAGCCGGCACTCTTCCACCGCACGTTCCAGGCTCTTGCCGATCCACACCACTTGCCTCCGGAGGCTGCTCCTCTGCTCACGGCCCACGCGGGGGCCGGCCAGTGCCAACAGGAAGTTGAACAGCTGAGAGGGCAGTTGGTAAACGGGCACTGAATGGAAGAGCCCGGGGATCTCAGTGGCCGGGAGGAGCTCCTCGAAGCAGGCAACCATATAATTGTCCCTGGCCTTCCCAGCAAGAAAATCAGGCATCACACAGTTGAGGGAAGCCAAGAAAGTGCTGTCAGGGTGGGCGGGGGGCAGCATGCCTTTCTTTTCCCGGCCCAGCCACTCCGCACAGCCAGCCACGGCGCCCTGGGAGAAAAGCAACACGATGGCTCCACCCCCTTTCAGCACCTGGTGCTTCTGCGCATGGAGCCACTGCATGGGCCCCAGGGCCCCCAGCTCCACCCGTCTCCACAGCTCCAGGGATACGGAGACCTGGAGCCGGGCCAGGGCTGCAGCCAGGATGCCCACCAGTCGCTCAAAGCTCCCGTCGTCTGGAGAGTAAAGGATGAGAATGGGCCGTCCCTGGAGTGTCCCTGCAGAGAAAGAGAGAATATCGGCTCACGACAGGGTACTCTACAGTTCTCACATGATCGACATTCAGATTTAGGATCTAACTGCATCTGGAAGGAGCTTCCCTCTTCCACCCCCCCAAGTCACCAACTGGATCTGGGACAGTAACTAGTTTTAAAGGCCCTGGGTAGGGTTGCCAGCCGCCAGGAGGCACCTGGAGATCTCCTGCTATTTCAGTTGATCTCCAGACAACCAAAATCCGTCCCCCTGAAGAAAATGGCTGCTTCGGAGGGTGGACTCTATGCATTATACCCCACTGAAGCCCGTCACCTCCCCAAACCTCACCTTCCCCCAGCTCCACCCCCAAATTCTCCAGGTACTTCTGAACCCAGAGCTTGTAACTCGAGCCCTGGGAGCAAATTTGCCCCAAAGGTTTGCCGTCTAACCTGGAAACATTGCTCTCTAATCTAAAACATGGCTACTCAGTGGGGCACAAAAGGCACCGTGCACGCTTTCCAAGGGCCTCTTTTTTCATTATGACTGGATTGCCACTATAGAGTCTGAGCTTAGTTCTTTGAGGCTAAGGCCTGGTAAGCTCTAACTCAGGCAAAGCAACAATTTTAGGGTTTCTTAGTTCACTTTCTTCTGTAATGCACATAAAGAGCTGTCTGGATTTAGTGTTTATGCAATGAACACTTCTGGTGTGAGGCACCTCTTTCTCCTGCTCCTCTCCTATGGGAAAATATAAGATTCCAAAGGGGAGCTCTGTCCTTTAAGTAGCCAATATTATAAATATTAGTAATTTTTGAAATAATGGTCCACATAAGAAATACTTGATATATCTATAGAACTGCTTTAATGCTCTATTTTTCTGAAATATTCCTAAAATATATCATTTGTCCTATTGATTATAGTTTGGTTATGACAATTATAGTAAGACCTCCCAATATTTCAATATAATGTATAAATTAAGCTAAATGTTTAATATTTAATAGTTACTGTTAATGGTAAATAATGGGAAATAAATTTTGACTTTTAATGACAGTCTATATAACATGTAAGGTATACTCAGAGGTCATTTCGGGGGGGAACGCGGGGGAACACAGTTCCCCCGGGTGAGGTGCAGGGGGCGGGGCACATGACGAAGCCCCGCCCCCTGCTTCCGGCCGCCCTGCTTCCAGCCCTCATTCAGCCAGGAGGAGGCAGGAGAAGAGGGAGGGTAAGTTGCTTCCTCCCCGCCTCTCCCCACCCCTGCCTGCCTGGGGCCAGGGAGGGCCTTGGCGTGGCTTCCTCGCACTCCCGCTGGCCTTGCAGGTCCACCGCCGGGCCCCTGATGTCAGGGGGTGTGGCATATGCTAATGAGTTATGCCAATGAGTTCCCCTAGCTCTTTTTCTACGAAATGACCCCTGGGTATACTAAATAATTTTAATTAGAATTGAAGGAAAAGACACTTTTAAATATTACCCTATATACGGAAAGCGTAATTTTAATGCTCTATCTTTACTGTGTTGTCGATCGTTCTTGTTATGTATATGTTAAATATTTTCATCATATTTTTATTTCCCTGTTCCTTTCCCCTCCTGTGCCCCAATTTTAATTAAAAAATTAAAAAATGGGGAAAACGGGGAGCCCTGTCATTCCACTGTAGCCAAAAGCATAGTCCTGTGGCACCTTAAAAACTTACACATTTATTATGGCACAAGGCTGATGCCGTCAGCTTTCATGAGCCAAAGGGTGCACGGTCAGTACATAGAGCACCCCATATTCTTTTAGTATATACGTATCCCAATTTCGCATATCTGACTCAGTGGCTCTATGAAGGCTTATGCCACAGTCAATTTGGCAGACTTCAGGGGACCACCATGGGATTCTTGAATGCACGTGCAGCTACCATTGAAACACCCACAATGACAGGAAAATGTGGGTGGGGCCAAGAGAAAGGTAGAGTGTATTTATTTGAGTTTTATCCTGCTCCTTTCCCTGCCAGGCGAGGCTCAGGGCAGCTGTCTCATAATCCCTATGAGACAGAGAATGTTTTTAGCAAATAATTAACCATTGTGCTTCCTCCCCCCCCCCCCAGAAAGCTGAGAACACAATGAAAACTAGGTTATACTCCTGGCGCAGAGGAACACTCCTCGCTCATTTTGACACATGCCCCAAATTACCTCTTTCCATTTTCAGCACCGTGGCCCCACCCAACACCAGGACAAAAAAAGGTTTGACAAAAAGGAAGCCACTTGTGTAGACATTATATACAGCACAAGATGGAGCCCAGCCCATTCCTGCCTTGGGGCGTTAGCTGCAGCATCAACACCGGAGCAAGCTGAGCGCCCTGCCTCCAGGGAATTATAGCCCCTCATCCTTTGCAGGAGAAGGCACTCAGAATATCCACCCTGCTTGCCCGGCTACAGCATATATGTGATTCATCACCCACCTTCCAGAATGACCCAGCACCCAACCCCCAGGCGAGTTCCGAAGGAGAACGTCATCTCGTCCCCTGAGCTGCGGAGCAGACCCTCCCCACCCTTCTCTGTCCCCATTGCCTCTTGAGGCCTGATCCTCACCTCCAGAACTGTAATCCTCTTTCAGGATCCTGAGCCAACCTGCAAAATGTTAAGAGGATCAGATCCCGCACAATGTACATGTATGAAGGCAAAACGAACCAGCGGGGCCAGGTCAGGATCAGAAAAAGCAATCAAAGAAAGGCGGGCAGGGATGAGACACTCACTGAGGGCCACCAGGGAATGACGCCTTGTCTCGGCACCCTAAGGAGGAGACGGGATCTACCTGTCAGGGAGTATCTCCTCTGGCTGCTAGGGAATCCCAAAATACCTATGACCTTGCCAGGCAGCACCCAGGTCTGGAAACCTGTATTTGACGCTGTCCAAGTAGGGCAATTAGCTTGTCTGTAACTTCTGTATTATGGGAACAGGACATGCCAGAGGAATGTGCCCTTTCCCCCCGTCACTAATTTCATTCTCAAACACCAGGGCAATACCCAGGGAAACATAATGTGCAGCCCACTCAGGACGTTTTAGGATTGGAGAGAAGGCAGGATGGGGACAGGGTGGGGTGGGGTTGTGATAATTAAGGGGACAAAACAGCAAAAATACAAGTGGGTTGACAACAGACCAAGGCCAAAGAGTAGAGGCAAAATATCAGGGCCAGGAAGGACATCTTAGCTGTACCTTTCAGTGTTTCCTTCTTGACCACCAGCACCAATAAGATAGAGAAGACTCCTAGGAGGGCCACCATCCAGGCTAGTCCCCAGTATGTTCGGCAATCTGCTTGAGGGCACAGAGGGGAGGGGAGTATATGCAAAATCAGTGGGCACTTTTATAAAAAGAATAGGACTGTGAACTATACCACTGTGTACAGTATGTATTATTTGTTTGTTGTACGCATTGTCCCACACTCATTGCTTTGTTTTTATACTTCTGTCCTATGATTTGGCTCCTACTATGACGATGCCCAAGCCTCTCTAGACCAGCTGCTGATTTTACCATAGTCCAAGGCAAAACAGGCTTTGCTTTGGTTGCCCAGCCTTTTGCACATGAAAACTTATACCCAGAATTAAACTTTGTTGGTCTTAAAGGTGCCACTGGACTCAGACTTTGTTACATAAAACAGAATTATTCAGGAGGGCATTTATTACAAAGATAGTAGGACTACATTATAACAAAAATAATAATAATCCAGGAATACACTTTTATAAAAAGAACAGGACTGTGAACTATACCACTGTGTACAGTATGTATTATCTGTTTGCTGTACGCATTGTCCCACACTGACTGCTTTGTTTTCATACTTCTGTCCTATGATCTTCTGCATTGTTGAATGCATCATGCCTAATATTTATGCTTTGTTTCAGATTCCTGTAATCCTAATCCTGTTACTTTGCTACTTAGACGTCTCCTCCCATTGATCGCATTGACTTACACTGGGTCACTTGCCTTGAATCTCAGCGAGAAAAATTTACCAATAACCAAATATATAAATATAAATAAATATATATATAAAAATGCGTAGTCTGAAGAAATGCCCTCCATTTGGATTCTGTTGGGATCAAGAATCAATTCAGGAACTTTCTGCCCATGCAGAGGCAGTAGTGTGGAATGTGGCCAAGGACTCCTCCTTCCTAACTAGGGCCAGGGCTATTTTTGGGCAGGAATCGGAGTTCCGGCTGGCTTCAGAGTTGGCTACGGCCACTACAGCCAAAACCTCTGTGTGCATGGCTACAGAGGGAAGGCCTGGAGAGAGACCCCCCCCAGTGACTCCGAGGCGTGCGGGCCAGGGGGCCCCTGGAAGGATCTGGGAGGCATTTAAATGCCTTCCCATGCCTTCCCAGGCCTGTCCAAGGGCCAGCTTGACCGGGCTCCCCACAGCAGCGGGGTGCCCGGGCAAGCCAAGGGAAGGCATGTGGTGTGGCCTAATATGCTAATGAGTTTCTGCTGTTGGGTGTGGCCTATTATGCTAATGAGTTCCTGCTGGGCTTTTTCTACAAAAAAAGCCCTGACTGGGACTGTGTTCCTAAATCCACATGGGCAGCTGTATCCCCCCAGGGTGGCTTTGGTGGGGTTCAAGAGCCACTTCTGCACAGACTCAATTTCCCTGGTTCTCTGCCTTGGGACGCAAGGGGCACTCACATTTCTCCAGGGGGCAGGCCCAAAGCACATCCATTTCACCGTCCTCTGAACCCCATACCTGTAAAGAACAATAAAGAACAGCAGGTTGGTGAGACACTCTGACTTGGATCACAGATTGCATCACTAAAAGGGATCTCAGCCTGGCAACTGGCCATCCGGTAGTTAATCCAAAATTACAGTGATGATACTTAGTTTCCATAGAGTGTTCAAAGTGGTTTGTGTTCATTTGCTCCCTAATTCTTTACTGCAACACCCATGTCCAGGTAATGATTCCAGTACTGCAGACGTGATGAAACCAAGAGATAATGGCTTGCTGAAGGCTGCAGACTGAGTTCACAGCAGAGAGATTTTAGCAAGAGTTCATCAGAGAGGGTCTGGGCATATAGTTTTCTGGTTCGCAGGGTTAGAACACATAAGATTTCCCAGCAGGGCAAACAGTGTTTGCTGAGGACCATTTTAGACTGGGAAAATGGCACCAAGGTTCCTGGAAAGAGAGAGGGTGACTGGGGGAGGGGCAAAATTCAGGGGGCTCAGCATCAGCTTGAGGGGCCCCAGCTGGGGCTCTCCAACAGCTGACACAGTAAGCTTCCTCTGGCTTGCCTCTGCTCTGCCCTTTCGGCTGCAATCTCTGTCTCCCTCTCTCTCTCATACATACCCCCCCAGAGCAAAAGTGGGGGGTTGTCTCCATTTCCTCTACCTGTCCCACTCCTGCACCTGCGTAGCCAGCCAGCCTCACACTCCGTGCACTGGGAAGGGGCCCATTCTGCACTCGTCTTTCCCGCCGTTGTGTCACCGATTCCACGGTCGTCACACAAATCTCCCTCTGCATTGCATGTCGCTCCCGTCCTCATTTTACCTCAGCTCAGTTTTTCCCTTCTGCATCATTTTATTGCCATCTAGTGGCGACCCCGAGGTCGCTCTGGCATTCTCCCGGGTTTTCTGGATTTCGTGCATCACATACTCCTTCTCCCTTGTTCGATGATCGGCATGGCAGCAGCCAGTCCCTCAATCTGTTGTCATCCTGCTTGCATGACCTGCCTTGCAAAAAAGCCCACCCTTTGCTTTGTTCCCCATCCCATTTCCTGAGCTGCACAGAGAAGCTTCTCTACCACATCTGGTAAATAAGCCCATCGCTGGAGGTAGTGGGAGAGGTGGGGGTAGGGGAGATCTAAACTGTCTCATGCCCCAGAGAAGCAAATAACGGAAGGGGCAGGGCTGTTAAAACGCATATTGTGTTTCTGGACAGGCACAAAGGTTTCCAGGCAACTGCTCAGAATAAGCATCACAGGAAAAAGACCAGTGTCTAAAAAGCAGTGGGAGTTTCAGATACAGTTGCCAACTGTTGAAGAAAGAGGGTTGGTTTGCACCTCCGACTTTAATAGCAGCCTGATCTATAGAAACCGGCAAAGGAATCTTTGACAAAACAGCAGACACTTATTACTGGCTCGTTCCTACTATGAGACGCACAGGAACTACTAAGAAAAAGTTGGCAACCCCTAGATCTGGGTGAGGATAACTGCAGGGTGTTGTGAGGGTGCATTTGGTGCTGGTGAATGGAAAGGGATGGATGCTGGATGGATCTGGGGGTGGGGGAATCACAGAGAAGAATGGAGGGAGGGAATTTAAGGCTGCTGTCTTCCTGTGCATGTTTACATGCAAGTAAGCCCCATCATACTCACACTTTGAATTAACAAGGACAGGACCCAGCTAACTGGAGCAAGGCCTCAGAACAGGGAATGCGCTTTATTTGTTGTTGTTTTTAAATCAGAAACCACACACTCTGGCTGGGAGAGGAGGATGGGGTGGTCTCTCTCTGTTCTCTCCTTGCTTTCTTTTTCTTTCTGTTTAAAAAGGCAGTCGCAGAAAGGGAGGGGAGGGAAGAACTGGAGCCAGTTCAGTATCCAGGGACTATACTTGCTTTCTAAAGTTAGTGCAGATGCGGGACTCTGATCACCTGCCAGGTTTCGTTCTTTGCTTCAGAAAAGAGATACTTTGGGGAAAGAAGAAAGTGCTTGCTAAGAAACATACCTGTGGGTGCCCTGGTGCCCAAGAGTGCCAGTTGCAACCAGCCCCGTAGCTAGGGAATTCTTTGGGAGGGGGCCTTGGGGGGGGCGCCAGCTAATTAAATGGAAGTACAGTGCAGGTGGTAAGTTGGAGCACTTTAGGGGCAGCCCTGGAGGGAGGGGGCCCAGAAGAAACACAAGGGGGCAGGGCCCTGTGGGCCCCATGTTAGCTACGGGCCTGGTTGCAACAAACAATACACCTATTAGTCCTTTCTTTTCCAAAGCAAGTCAGTGAGACAGAGAGAATGAGAGCTCTCAGAGTACTATGGACTAGATGTTGCCTCTTCTCATTGAATGCTGACATGTGCTAGGTGGTGGTGATTTGAAAGTGTGTGGGGGAGGGTTTGGGGGGTTTTTTGCACAATACCTTATTGCAGTGTGCACTGTGTAAATAGGTTAAGTGAAATCTGTTCTTTAACAATCCTGCCCGTTTTCCTTTAATGCTTCTTATCTCATTAAAAATCATTATTCTGTTCATGGATGGTAGCAGTAAGCCAATAATATTTGCTTTTCATCAGGGTCACATGGGCCCCCCAGATGCAATCTTTGTCCGGGGGCCCACGGTGGCCTTAAACCTTATCTCATGCAGCAATTCTAGTCTGAATTGGGCCTCTGCATCCCTGGTGGTGATGGTGGAAAGGGCCATCGAGTCACAGCCAACCTGTGGGGGTTTTCACGGCAAGAGACCTTCAGAGGTGGCTTGCCATAGCCTGCCTCTGCGTAGGGACCCTGGACTTCCTTGGTGGTCTCCCATCCAAGTGCTAAGTAGGACCAACCCTGTTTAGCTTCTGAGATCTGATGAGATCGGCCTAGCCTTGGCCATCCAGGTCAGGGAACGCCTAGAAAGCAAATTAAAACAAGCAAAACCCGGGATATTCATACCTGGAACTCTCTGAACGTTATCTGGTTAGAGCTTTAGCTGCTACTGGTAGGGTTACAAACCTCAAGATGGGGCCTGGAGTTCTCCCCAGCATTACAACTGATCTCCAAATCACAGAGATCAGTTCCCCTGGAGGAAATGGCAGCTTCAAAGGATGGACTCTGTTGGCATCGCATCTCTGCTGGGCTCCCTCTCGTCCCCAAAACCTGCCTTTCCAGACACTAACCCCAAATCTGCAGGAATTTCCTAAGCCAAAGCTGGCAAACATTACTATAGATGCTCTCAACCTCTTCTTTGAAATTTTCCAAGGGATATTCCTTTTCTTGGGAATAAATTGCATCACTCAATCATTTGTGCAGACAGGAAGATCCCCCCCCCCCGGCTAGAATCAATAAAGGTTATAAATTGCCCTGACGTGGATAGCCCAGGCAAACCAATCTCATCAGATCTCAGAAGCTAAGCAGGGTGGACCCTGGCAAGTGTTTGGATGGGAGACCTCCAGAGCATACCAGGGCTGGGAGGCCAGAACGTCCTCCGTGCCCCCTTCAGCCATCATGGTAGCTTTGAGCAAGGAGATAATGAGGCACTTTTGCCCCATCTCCAAGCCACCTGTGCCCTGCAATACACTGCTGGCTGCCTGAAATACCTCCAAATTGTTTGAAGGAAATAAGGTTTCTGTGATAAGCAACAGTTCCCACATAGCATGTCAGAAGCTCCTGTAGATGGCTGGATTGAAAGATCAAGTAAATGAGTAGTCAGGAGGCGAGGCTGATAGGCAGACCCCGGAGAAATGTGAGGGCAGGATCAGATAAAATGCTGTGATGTGGGTGATTTTTTTAATTGCCTCTGCCGCATCTTCTCTAGCTGTGTCCTCATAAATGGCCCTCAGACTATACGATGATGAACTTGCACCACCTACTGGACATTGTCTGAAGTACCAGGAAAGCATTCAAATTCCCAGCTAATTTTTGTTTATGAAATACCTCTGCGTGAGCAACTAAATTCATTTATTTACTTCATTTAGACCCCACTTCCCCCCCCAATGGAGATGCAGAGAGGCTTACACTGTTCTCCTCTCTTCCATTTTATCCTTACAACAACCCTGTGAGGTAGGTTAGGCTGAGAGCATGTGACTGGCCCAAGGGCAAGCTTCTCTGGCAGAACAGAGATTTGAATCTGGGTCTCCTAGATCCTAGTCTGACTCTCTAACCTCACGTTACTGGCTCATTCTGCAGAGAATATACGCATGTACACTCACATTCTTCGGCAAATCCAGCTAGTGCGTGTATGCTTTCTACAGTTTATTTATTTATTTAAAACATTTATTAGTCTGAAAGAGGGAGGGCAGGGACTGCCTAATTTAAAATTATATTATGAAGCAGCACTATTAAAAAATGCATTATTATATACCCACTCAGAATCTGGTAAAGCATGGGTTCAAATAGAGAAAAGTTATACTTCCCCTGGTTTGTTACATGAAGTCTTTTGGGCCTCACCTAATAATAGAACTAAATCAATAAGGGGGAATCTATTCTTGACAACTACTTTAGAAGTGTGGGATAGAAAGAGGGAAGTATTAGCGCCGGGTATTTCTCCAGAAGCAGCATTTTTAGGTCAGGTTTGGTTCCCCCCTGGACAGGGGGTAAACACATATAAAAATTGGAGAAATGCGGGAAAATTTAGAATTAGAGATTTAGGTTTTCAAGGGGGAAAATGGACGAGAGAACAAATGGCAGAGAAATATAATGTGGAAATTCCATGGTTTCAAGAGCAACAATCATCTCATATGATTTATATATAAATAAATATAAATAAATAAATTAATTAAATAAATAAATAAATTTTAAAAAAAGTATAAATAAATTTTAAAAAAAATCATCTCATATGATCGCCGCCAATGGCATAATAAAGAATTCAACTCACCCACTGACAGCTTTTGAAACTTTAATTCATAAAAAACTAACGGAACAAAAGGGAATTGAATCTATTTTATATAAGTCTTTGGCATTTTTGCAATGGTCTAAGATCTCAGCACAACAACATGCCTGGCATAAAGATCTTGAGATGGACCTTTCTTTGGAACAATGGAATAAAATACGGAATTCGGGTTTATACACTACTACAGCTTTAAATCTACATTATCAAAACTATAAGATCTTTTCAAGATGGTACATGACTCCCCTTAAATTGCTTCATTCAAAAATATTGAAGGACCCTATGTGTTGGAAGGGATGTGGGCAGATTGGATCGTTGTTTCATTGTTGGTGGTCATGTCCAAAAATACAAGAATATTGGTCAAAAATAATTTCAAAGATAGAGGAGATTGTGGGTATTCAGATTCCTAAAACCCCGTTGGGAAGATTGCAAGTGAGGGGAGCTCACCACCTCCCTAGGCAGCTGATCTTACTGTAAAAATGTTTTCCCTAAGATCCAGCCGGTACCTTCCCGCCCTTAATTTAAACCCATTATTGTGAGTTCCCTGCCCTCCTCTAAGTGACAGCCCTTCAAATACTTAAAGAGAGCAATCATGTCCCCCTCTCAACCTCCTCTTCTCCAGACTGTCTTGACACACTAATGCAGAAATACTAACTGGGGAGGATCATTCTGTATTTAGAGGATATTTTCGGATCATCTCTATTTATTATGGAAGGGGGAGGTTTGAATGCTGGCCTCCCCAGTCCTTCTTCAGTCACTATCCCACACAGGCTCTTATCAATGGTTCGTAATTTCAAAATGGGTTGTTAACAGTGAGAACCTCCCCCTCACTAGACTTCCCCCCCCCTTCTGACTCAATAAAAGGCAGCTTTTGAACGTTCTCAAGTTCATACGACATCCCTTCCCAAATCCAGCACCAAGTCAGGCCACTGGCACCAGAACGTTTTCAGAATATCTCTCCGTCACATCCCCTGGGCTAGGGTTGCCAGCTCTGGCCTTGGAAATTCCTGGAGATTTTTGGAGCGAAGCCTGGGAAAGATTAGGGTTGGGGAGGGGGGGAAGACCTAAGTATGGACAAATGCCATACAGTTCACCCTCCAAAGCAGCCATCTTCTCCAGGAGAACTGATCTCTTGTCATCTGCTGATCAGTTGTAATTTCCAAGGGATCTCAAGGCGCCACCTGGTGGCTGTCAGCCCTAACTCCACAACAAATGAGTGCCTCTCCTCAGGACACGATCTTCACTTCCTCACTTTTGACAGTTCCTGATGCAGAGCCCAACAGCTCCCGCCTTCGGCTCTCACCTGCACACAGGCTCCTGATTTCATGTCATTCTGCAAGGCCTCCCTCAGGATACTATTTCTCTGTGGAAAGGGGAAGAAAAAGCAGTGAGTGCTGTGAAACTCGCAGCTGCATGCCTCAAACAAGCCAGGGCCCGAGGAAAGGAGGAGGAGGGCTGGGAGAAAATCTTACTGCGCTGAAGGCTTGAGCGATGGGAATCCAGGAGCCCTGTTGCAAGACACGGAAGGACAAATTGCCTTGGGGGCCAACCGTTTCCCAGAGCAGACGCCACTGCTGGCTTCCTGGGAAATCTAGGGAAAAAGGAAAACATGGGAAAGTGTCGCCTGAAGGATTCAGCTTGAGCTAGGCCAGTTCTCAGACTGAGGTGTAGCTCCCAAACCCAGCAAAACATAAACAACAACGAGAAGAAGAGTTGGTTTCTTATACCCCACTTTTCTCTACCCGAAGGAGTCTCAGAGTGGCTTACAATCACCTTCCCTTCCTCTCCCCACAACAGACACCCTGTGAGGTAGGTGGGGCTGAGAGAGCTCTGAGAGAACCGTAACTGGCCCAGGATCACCCAGCTGGCTGCATGTGGAGGAGGAGGAGGGAACCAAACCCGGTTCTCCAGATTAGAGTCCGCCGCTCTTAACCACTGCAGCACAAACAAAAGGGTGCGGCTTCTGGTTACCAACTCTCGGTTGGGAAATTCCTTGAGATTTGGGAGGTGGAGCCTGGGGAAGGCAGGATTTTGGGAAGGGGGACCTCAGCAGGGTACAATACCACAGAGTCAACTCTCTGGAGCAGCCATTTTCTCCGGGGGGAACTGATTTTTGTGTACTGGAAATCAGCCGTAATAGTGGGAGATCTCCAGCCCCCACCTGGAAGTTGGCAACCCTGGCTGCTGAGCCCAGGCTTCCTGACATACAAACGATACAGATTCTAAATGTACTAGAAAATTCTTATGATATACTCAAGTTGTGCCCCATTTTTTCATCTAAAACACACAATGCAGCTGACAAAACATTTTTAAATGCAAGCCCCCCCAAAAGTTGTAACCATCAAAACCACCACCCTCACAATGATAAGGAACAGCGTTAAAATTAGTAAAACAACACTTACAATCCAAGATCCTGATTCCATAATTCAAAACACCCACAAAAGCTGATTAAAGCCAACCTCCAGGGCTAGTCCTTTCAATATTAGCCGCTTGGTGGTTGATGGGTCTGAGTCAGTGCTCGGCATGACACCCTGGCGAGCTGAGACCCTGGAGAGCCGCTGCCAGTCTGAGTAGACAACAGTGACCTTGATGGACCCCCCAGTGGTCTGATTCAGTATAAGGCAGCTTCATGTGTGTTCATGTGAGCTCTTGGGCTCAGGATGTAGCACCACAATGGTGCTGGGGAAGGGTTGCCAGTGCTGGGTTGGGAAATTCCTGGAGATTTTGGGGGCGGAGCCGAGGGATGGTGGGTTTGGGGAGGGCTGGGACTTCAATGGGATATATTGCCATAGAGACCAACTTCCAGAGCAGCCATTTTCTCCAGGAGAACTGATCTCTGTCACCTGGAGACCAGTTCTGGGAGATCTCCAGTTCATAGACTGTTACACTGTATATATTTTACTCAGGAGTAAAAATTACTCTCCCAATTATTCTTAAAGAAAAAGAACTGTTTATACAAGACTTGCAAAAATTATCTAGTTTGTGTGGACAATATTTCATTCACATTAAAGCAGCACATCAAGGCCAGTTTGGTGTAGTGGCTAAGTGCGCGGACTCTAATCTGGGAGAACCGGGTTTGATTCCCCCCCACTCCTCCACTTGTCCCTGGCTGGATGACCTTGGGCAAGCCGTAGTTCTGGCACAGCTGTCCTTGAAAAAGAGCAGTTTCTGTCAGAGCTCTCTCAGCCCCACCTACCTCACAGGGTGTCTGTTGTGGGGAGGGGAAGGGAAAGGAGTTTGTAAGCCGCTCTGAGACACCTTTGGGTAGTGAAGGGCTGGGGTATAAATCCAATCTTTTCTTCTTCTTCTTAATATACAGTCCTGCAACGATGGACCCCAGTTGGTACTTGTTTCCCTCAGCTTTGTCAGGTCACACTCTGTCAGGTGCTGCACATAAAGTTACATCTTTTTACAAACATGTTTTTAAAAATAGTTTTCTAAATTTGAAGAGAGAGACCCGGGTATGTTATAAACTTACCCCTGAAGCTCATTCAACTATCTATCCCACTGTTTCTGGTATATTCCAACTGGCTTCTAAACAGATTCCCACTGTTATGGACTGTCTCCTCAAGTACAGGAGCTTGTCAATTTATGTGACTTTATGTGCAGCAACTGACAGAGTGCAACCTGACGAAGCTGAGGGAAATGAGTACCAACCGGAGTCCGTCGTCGCGGGACTGTATATTAATGTGTTGCCTTAATGCGCCGCTTTAATGTGAATGAAATATTGTCCACAAACTAGATAATTTTTGTAAGTCTTGTATAAACAACTCTTTTTCTTTAAGAATAATTGGAAGAGTAACTTTTACTCCTGAGTAAAATATATACAGTGTAACAGCCTATGAACTGGGGGGGGGGGTTGGTACAGTTTATAAATCACTCTATTTCCGTTGTTTGTTACTTATCACCTGAAGGCTGGCAACGCTGTGTGGGGGTCACAGTCAGAGCACCAGCAGCTGTATGCCCTACCCGCTGGCCGACCACATCCAGCAGATTTGGGCTAGCATCCCTCCTCCCACCGGCGTGGTTCCTGGCACTTACCCTCCTGCAGACAGCTCTGGAGGCGGGTGCTTCCATTGCTCCTTGCCTGGTACAAAGAGGAAGCGTGAGTCAGTGGGATGGTGGGACAGGTAGGCTGGCCCGTAGCTAACACGGGGCCCACGGGGCCTGGCCCCCGAGTTTTTCTTCTGGGCCTCCTCCCTCCTGGGCTGACCCCAAAGTGCTCCAACTTACCACCTGCACTGTACTTTCATTTAATTAGCTGGTGGGCCCCCCAAGGCCCCCTCTCAAAGAATTCCCTAGCTATGGGGCTGCGTGAGCTGCAGTATAGCAGGGTTCCTGTCTATGACAGAAGGGCAAACAAGCCTTTGTGCCTGGCTCTCCCAGAGCCATCTGGCTAATCATTGCTGGAACAGAACGCTGAACAATTTGGGAGACGTTTAAGCGTGTCATTAACTCCCTCCCACTGAAATCGATGGGACTCAGAAGTGCTCATTTTGGACTGAACTACTATGCCTTCCGGGGCCAATGCAGTAAAAACCATTTTAACCAAAGTCGCAATGGAAGATTCATGAACATACACATATGATGTACAGCATACCACCTAGTTCCCACGTATCCAAAGGAATTCTTGTACTGGTACAAGCCCGGTGCAACTTCTTATAACTGCCCAGAGTTCTCCTTGTGTAGACCATGGGGATTTTCAGTTAGACACGCTCTGGGGATTCCTTGCTCAGAATATTCCCAGGCACTGGAGAGGATGTGACTTGGACTGGGAAAGGGGGGCTCAAGCCATTTTCCCAACTTGCTTCCCCAACATGGCAAATAGCAGCTCCCCAGAGCCATTTCAGATCAGGAAATGGTATGCGTGTGGGAAGGCTGACGCTCCCTTCCCCCACTGTACGGCAGTCCCAATATGAATTGGGCCTCCTGCACACACACACATACAGACACGTGCCTGGGATTCAAGCTCTGAGCACAGAACTCTCAGTACACACCTGAAAGGAAGCCCTTGTGGCATCTTCCACCAGCCACACTTTTCTGACGTTCACATCTTTCAGTATAAATCAGGGGCCCCCAACCTTTTTGAGCCCGTGGGAACCTTTGGAATGCTGACACAGGGAAGTGGGCACAATTTAAAAATGGCTGCCACAGGCGGAGGAGGAGCCAATCACAAAATGGCTGCCACAGGAGGAGTCAACCATAAATGGTCAGGGAGCAAGGTTATAAATAACTGAAATAGTAACTCTTCTACATTTCAGGCAGACACTCTGTTTAACAGGAAGTCTTTTAATCTCTGCAGCCAATCAGATGCCTTGCTGGGCAAACGCCCACACCTAACTTGCCCATCCCACTTCCTAAAAACACTTGGTGGGCCCCAGGAAAGGTGTCAGTGGGCACCAGGGCTCCCATGGGTGCCATGTTGGGGACCATGTATCTGTCTAATGAATGAATATTTCATGTACCCAATGCAGTAAACTCTTGACTCACAAAAACCTGTGTTGGAAAAAATTCCGATAATTTTTAAGGTGCCACTGGACTCCTGTTTTATTTGTCTGCTACAGGCAAAGAGCCCTGACTTGGACAGCCCAGGCTAGCCTGATCTCATCAGATCTTGGAAGCTAAGCAGGGGCTGACCCTGGCAAGTATTTGGATGGGAGACTTTCAAGGAATACCAGGGACATGACGCGCAGGCAGGCAATGGCAAACCACAAACCACCTCTGAATGTCTCTTGCCTACGGGGTTGCCATATGTCAGCTGTGACTTGACGGCACTTTCCACCACCACAGGCTAAGACCCATTGGAAGTTATCAAGGAAAATACAGAGGCAATTTATAATATCAGTTATTGGCAATATTCCTAATTTTGCTATACCGTACGTTTTCCCCTTTCTTTTGTCAACAGATAAGAAACAATGCCAGGCTTGTAGATTTTCTAACCCATCTCATAGCACCTCCTCAAGCCTGTAATTCGTGCTTACGGCAATGGATTTATACTGCCGTGATATCATGCAAGCAAACAAGCAGCTATACAGGTTGGAAGAGGCTTCCCAAAGTCCCTGGGTGAATCAGCCGTTTTAAACCACTAAATCAGGAAATGCCGCAGGAGTGCCAAATACCCAGTCTGGAAGGCACGAAGGTAAAATAATCCACAAGGACACTCCCTACACATTCTCTTTGCTGGAAACCTCAAAATCAGTCCCATGTAAATCGCAAAGGAACAAAAGATGTAAAATCCACATTGCTTGGACCTAGCCTGCAACAGATAATTGAGCGCAGAACAGTATCTGAGGAAGTGTGCATGCACACAAAAGCTTATAGCTTGAATAAAACTTTGTTGATCCTAAAGGTGCCACAGGACTCAAACTCTGAAGGCAGAACAGTAGCCTTCACTTATAACAAGTGTGCAAGGAAGATGTTTAGCTCACAGCATCCATTTCAACGGGAGAAATGAGTCTTGGCTGTTGAAAGCCCCGGTTACAAAAGAAGCAATTACCGTAACAAAGAGATGCTGCTTTCAGGGAAATTGCTGGGAAATGGACTTTCATCTGTGCTGTTTTAACAGCACATAGTTGGCAACTGGCCTTTATATGCCTAGAACACACAAACTGCTCTGCTGACCAGCTCAACCCGCCCCTTCCCCTTCTGTCTACTGATAAAAGCCAAGAACATCTGACCTTTCCGCCTCCTTCCACTGATAACAGGAATCCTCAGCCTCCCTGCTCATTTAAATCAACCTTATGACGCTTATTTTAAGGCTGATAAAAGTTCCAAACGGCCCAAAGAAGAAGAAGAAAAATGAATAATCCATGTAATACCTTTGATTAAGACCAACCAAAATAACACAAAACAAGGTGAAAGTTTTTGAGTTTTCCAGAGCTCTTGGTCAGGCTGCTCTCCATAGGGCTGCCAGCCCGCTGGAGACTTGGTGGTGGAGCCAGGGGGGGGGGACAGGCTTTGGGAAGGGGATGGACCTCTGTGGGGTACAGGCTTGCCAGCCCTGAGGTCTGGGTGGGGGATCCCCCGATTTCAGGTGCTTCTCCCTGCTGCAGACCAGCTGGCCAGTGGGGGAAGGGAAAGGTAAAGGTTCCCGTGCTCGAAAGCCAGTCGAATCCGACTCTAGGGTTGCGGTGCTCATCTCCGTTTCAAAGCCGAAGAGCCAGCGCTGTCCGAAGACGTTTCCGTGGTCATGTGGCCGGCATGACTAAACACCAAGGCGCACGGAACGCTGTTACCTTCCCACTGAAGTGGTACCTATTTATCTACTTACAATTTCTTGCTTTCGACCTGCTAGGTTGGCAGGAGCTGGAACTAGAGACGGGAGCTCATTCCGTCATGCGGCACACTCAGGTCTTGAACTGCTGAGCTACCGACCTTCCACAGCCTGCAGTTCAGCATCTTAACCACTTGAGCCACCGCAGCTCCTTTCCGCGGGGGAAACCCCACCCTTAAACAGGGACACTGCCAAGCGATGTCCCCAGTGTGATGATATCATCCAGAAGTGATCCCATCGCGTCGGGGGCATCGCATAGGGACACTCTGGTATTTGGGCAAACTCTATGGTTTGAGGGTGATGTCATCGTGTTGTGCGATGTCCCTGCCCACCCCTGGAACGCCCCCCCCAAATCCCCCCCCACGGAATCGACAAGGGGACCTGGCAGCCCTAGTGGGGTATTATAATGCCATACAGTCCACCTTTCAAAACAGCCGTTTTCTTCTGGAGAACCAACCTCTGTAGTCTGGAGACCTGTTGTCATTCCAGGAGATCTCCAGGCCCCACCTGGAGGCTGGCAACCCTGAACACACTTACTTTAAAAACCCTGAATTTTCTTCTGAGTAAGTATGCTTATAGGGGTGGTGCACCGAGCAGCGCTTCAACAGGCTACTGTACTGCTGTCTAGGTGCAAACCTGAGCTTGCTGCTGCAGAGAGTCGCCAATATATGTTGGCAACCACTAGATTGCGGCATTCACACTGTGTCATTTTTTTAGATACGTATCTAAAAACGTGATGTGTGAAGGGAGCCTCATGCCGACCTGGAAACTGACAACTGTTAGCCTAACTGGGGACCTGAGGCCAAGGAAGTTGGCAGAACTGTTCAGAGGGGAGAGAGGCAGCAAACGGAGGCCCATTCTGCATCTAGCATCCGCTCTGCTGTTTTACCAAACCCACATTGGAACAGAAATTCCCCTCTGCATCGCAGGCCACTTTCACTTTGATCGATTGTCGGATTTTATGGCAGTGTCCAGACTGCATGCCGCTTTCACTTCCTTTGATCTCTTGGTTTTATGGTAGCCGTCTGCATAGATTTTATAGCCATTTTTTTGGGGGGGTGACTCTGCAGTCCTTATGGTGTTGGCCCAGGGTATTTGAATGTGGTTTTGAACCGCATCTTTTTCTGTTCCATTGTGGGTTTGGTAAAACAACGGAGCAAATGCTAGATGCAGAATGGGCCAGTGAGAGATAGGTGTAAGACAAGGCCCCAAGGGAGGCAGGTAACGGTGTTCCGTGATCAGGGCAATCTTGCCCGAAGCAATTACTTCAAAGAACAAGTGTCCTAGAAGATGCCATATTCTCCAAAAGTACACAAGAGTCTTGTGGCACTTCCAAGATTCACGTAGTTTTATTCTGGTATCAGCTTTTGTGGACTAGAACCCTCTTGGTCAGATGCATGTACTGCAGCAATCCCCACACGCGTGCATGCCAACAGCACGCCAGACCATTTTTGCTTGGTACCCAGGGCAAGCTCTCTGGCCAAGCAACCAAGGCACTGGCAGCACTGCTAGGTCCACAGTGCGGAGAAGGCAACAGTCATGGCTTATGCCCACAATGGCCTCCCAGAACTGCATAGCTACCAACTGAGTCCAAGCAAATCTCTGAGATGTTGGCAGTGCCGCTGGTGCCCTGACCCGCACAGCCCAGGCTAGCCCGATCCTGTCAGATCTCGGAAGTTAAGCAGCATTGGCCCTGGCTAGTATTGGGATGGGAGACCTCCAAGGAATACCAGGGTCATGACGCAGAGGCAGGCAGTGGCAAAACCACCTCTGAAGCATCTCTTGCCTTAAAAACAAGTCTAGATCACCACCTAGTGGTGTATTAACACTAAAAGAGCTAGAACCTCTGGCTACCAGAAAATCTTAAGATCTCCTGGCTATACTACACACAATGCCAGATGATGATGATGAGGAGGAGGAGGAGGAAGAAGAGGAAGAAGAGGAAGAAGAGGAAGAAGAGGAAGAGGAAGAGGAAGAAGAGGAAGAGGAAGAAGAGGAAGAAGAGGAAGAAGAGGAAGAAGGAGAGGAAGAAGAGGAAGAAGAGGAAGAAGAGGAAGAAGAGGAAGAAGAGGAAGAGGAGGAAGAAGAAGAGGAAGAAGAAGAAGAGGAAGAAGAAGAAGAGGAAGAGGAAGAAGAAGAAGTAGTAGTAGTAGTAGTAGTAGTAGTAGTAGTAGTAGTAGTAGTATGTCTGGCATGCCCCACGGTTGTTTGCCAGCATACCTGCATCTTCACAAGTAGAATCTGCATTTTTTCCAGCATTTGGGCCAAAAATGGTTGCCCACCCCTCTATATTAGGTCTTCATTAGGCAGGCATTTATATACGAGGTTACATGACTGCCTCTAGGCTATGACAACTTATGGTAGGATTCCAGTGTATTTTTGCAGAAACAACCCAATAACCCAGCTACTCCTGGGGACATAATCTCCAATCTCTCTCTTGGGGTATCATTAAAAAATGAGCTCTGGGCCTTGAACTGAGAACAGAAATCATTTTGATGCTTCAAGGGCCAAACCATCTAAATCCATCCCTGTGAATGATCCCTGGCAGCTGGTGGACAGTGACTGCAGAAATTGTTTCTGATGTTTCCAATGATGCGGCTCCTACCTGCACACAGAGGTTGGGGTGGGGTCTCAGCCGGGGAAACTCCTGGAGCTCCTGCAAGGTTTGGAAAGATTTTGTTACATCAGATTCTTCCACAACATCTGCAGCCTAGAGTCTGTGTGTACCACTTACTTATGTGCACACCTGTTCCCACACCAGAGAAGAGAGAGCCAGATAATGCATAACCCTCCCCCAAGACTCAATGGGCTCCACCTGAAGCTCCCTGTGCAACCTCCTCCAAGCCCCCACCCATTCAAAATCCGCTCCGCCCTGCTTCAGGGCTGTCAGATGTCTCCTCCTACTCCAACACATCGTAGAAGACAAATATTACTCCACCTACTAGGTTAGCATTCCCCTTATTTATGAAACATCGATCTCCAGCCCTTCCTTTCCAATCTCACCCACATTTCTCTTTCCCACCATTCACTCTCTCTACTCACATTTGGAGTGAGGGCCAGACGCAGCCTGGAGTGGAGAGGGTAGCAAGCAAGGAGGCCCATCCTCCAGCAAGGCACCAGCTCCCCCGGGAGGTCACATGGCGCAGAGAAAGAAAGACTCAGGGTTCTATCAAAGATTCTTAGCTCTAGGCGGCTCTCTGCCCAGGCCCGGGCAAGAGCTTCCTTATCTGAAACAGGAAGTGAGTCTTTAGATTAGGGATGCCGGCCTCCAGGTAGGACCTGGGAATCCCCCAGTATTACAGCTCATCTCCACACTACAGAGATCAGTTCCCCTGGAGAAAATGGATGCTTTGGAGGGTGGACTCTATATGGCATTGTACCCTACTGAGATGTCTGTCCTCCCCAGGTTCCACCCCCAAATCTCCAGGAGTTTCCCACGGGGGACCTGGCAACCCTAGACTCTTCATCACAAAAATGACCCATTGTCACCCGACTCAGGAATGTCCTCAGCATATTATGTGCGCAAACATAAATGCTTCAGTCATCCTTTCCACAGTATGCAGGCCATGGCAATTTTTCCAGGAGCACATCCCATCATGTATTCTGACCCCTAAAGTCTGATATGCACACGGAGGTTGCAAGCTATTTCACTGGTCTCCATTTTTTACTCAAGGAGACAGAATGTGGAAGGAACACATGGCTCAGTGTTCAAATGCACATTTTACATGCAGAAGGTTCCATCGCATCTGCAGTTGAAAAAGATTTTCAAGCAGATGTTCTTTCGCCTGAGGAGACACTGGAGAGCCACTGCCCATACTGAAGTACATAGGCCACCATTGGTCTAACTCATGACAAGGCAGCTTCACATCCGCACAGGCAAGCTTGTTGTGTACTGGCTTTACTGCAGATTGATTCTGGCAGGCAGCCATGTTGGTCTGAAGCAGCAGAACCAAGTTGGAGTCCAGCGGCACCTTTAAGACCAATACGAAAACTCAGGGCTATTTTTGGGCAGGAACGCACAGGAACGGAGTTCCGGCTGGCTCCCAAGTTTGCCACACCCAGCAGGAACTCATTAGCATAATAGGCCACACCCAACAGCAGAAACACATTAGGATTGGCTACATTAGGGGTGTGTGGCCTAACATGCAAAGGAGTTCCTGCTACAAAAAAAGCCCTGGGTTTTGACAACAAACAAGGTAAACAGAATAAGAAGCAAAAGGTGGGTGTGGCTGGATGAGCACAATTCTGGTAACATGGTGGTGTAGCCTAATATGCCAATGAGTTGCACTGTCAGAGGTGTGGCCTAATATGCTAATGAGTTCCTGCTGTTGGGTGTGGCATATTATGCTAATGAGTTCCTGCTGGGCTTTTTCTACAAAAAAAGCCCTGCGAAAGCTTATACCTTGATTAAAAGCCTAAAACTTGGGTGGACAAAGTTAATCTGGGGGAGGGGTAGCTCTATAATTTGGATATGTAATTTGTATGTGTTTTTAACCTGTCTTCAGGACTAGAAATAATGAGAAATGCATTCCTCATACCTCTTGCAAAAGGACACACGTCAATTCGGGGTGGGTCTTCAGCATCGGGCCAAATCTACAAACAAATACAACAAAGTTAAAAGTTATATCCATGAGACCCCCAATGATCCTGAGGGAGGGTGTGGAGCTTTGGACTTACTGAAACTGGTGTTCTTTCTCCTTCATCATAGTCAGCCCCTACACACCTGAGCTTAGGGTCAGAGAACTAACTCAGGTTTCATATGCAGATCTGAACCCCAGTATGATTATTTTAGAAAAATGCCCACTTGGCCAAAGGGACCTACAACACCCCCTCCAATTGAATAGGTATTGTGATTCTGCAGGAGAGAAGCAGATGTGGCCACGGGTGCTAGAATGATACTGAGTGGAAAAGGGACCTTGCTATGAGGCATCCTAGATCCTTACCTGCAGGCAGAGACAAGGGAACACCACAGAGAGAGGTATGCTCACATTCTCCGGTCCAGTCTAAAGACAAGAATAGGAAGGGAGAAAGGAGCGAAAATGGTTAGTGGAGAAAACTGACCGCATTCAGGCTCCTCCTGCCTCGTTAACAATGCAATCCTAAGCAGAAGTATACCCTTCTGAATCCACTGATTTCAAACTATTTAGAAGGGTTAACTCTGCTTTAGATTCCACTGTAACCCCCAGATCATATTTCTGAGACTGGGAACCTATGTGCTACAGCTTATTTATGTACTTAAACTTATGCCACACTCTCCAAACAAGTTTGCCCAAGATGGTTTCCCTGTAAACATAAAACACCCAATATAAAACCAGTAAGACATCATAAAGTGATAAAAGCTGCTTAAAAACAAAAGCATAAAAGGCATAAGCAGCACAGTATAAAAGCCCAAAGTACATAACAGAATCTGTTTGTCCAGGTCTTTACCCCCACCCCACCCCAGCCATACACACAGCAAAGATAGGAAACTGAGGTAATTTCACATATATGTGATGTGTGTTAGGTGCCGTCAAGTCACTTCTGACATATGGCGATCCTATACTTTACCTCCTCTGGAAAAGGATGTGGTCTTACAGCACATGATCTTTTAATCAAGAGAGAATGCACTGTATTGACACAGCGAACTAAAGCCAACACGTTTTAAGGAGCTCTACAGCTATGAGGACTAGAGACTCACTTATTTCTTCAAGATAAAACATGATGTTCTCAGGATTATGCAGTAGATGCCACCTGTGATATGATAACAACACAAGCCAGGATGCGGGAGGAGATGTGATGGAGTTTATATAATTATGTAAGGCAGGGGTCATTTCGTAGAAAAAGAGCTGCAGGAGCTCATTAGCATATGATATACTAATGAGCTACTAGGCTATTAGCATATGCCACGCCCCCTGACATCACCAGAAGTGATGTCAGAAGGGGAAGCAAAGGGGGGGCATCTTCAAAAGCCTCCTCTCCTCTTCCCCAGCTGGCCTGCGGGGGGGGGGGAAGCGAAGAGAGAAGGGGTTTAAAGTTTAAACCCCTTCTCACTAGAGTTGGGCTGCAGAAGGTGGAAAGAGAGAAGGAAAGAGAGAGAGAGAGTAGGGATAAGAAAAGAAGGAAGGAAAGAGGGAAAGAAAGAGAAGGAAAGAGGGAATAAAAAGAGAGGATAAAAAGAGGGAAGGAAAGAAGAAGGGAAAGAAAGAAAGAGAGAGAAGGGAAGAAGGAGGGGAAGGAGAGAAAGAGGAAAAGGAGAGAAGGAAAAGAGGGAATAAAAGAAAGAAGGAAAGGAGGAAAGGAGAGGAAGGAGAGAAAGAAAAGGAGGGAAAGAAAAGGAAAGGAGGGAAAGATGGCAAAGAGATGGAGGAAGGGAGAGCCCCCCCATCAAGCCCCCACCACCCCCACGGATCCCTTACTTACCGCTTCGGCGGGGGCTGGGGAAGCTGGTGGTGGAGCTCTCCGGGTGTCCCCCGAGCTACAGCGCTTCTGTGCGGGCCAGGGGGACCCGGCGGCGGGGTTCTCCGGGTGTCCCCCAAGCCACAGCGCTTCTGCACGGGCCCGGGGGACCCGGCAGCAGGGTTCTCCAGGCGTCTCCCAAGCTGCAGCCCTTCTGTGAGGGCCCGGGGGACCCAGCGGCGGGGCTCTCTGGGCCTCCCCCCGGCCCCAGTGCTTTGGCACAGTGAGCTGGGGGCAGGGCTTGCCACCGCCACCATTTACGCAGGCCCCTGGGCTGCTGGAGTGGTGCTCCGGCACACTCCAGCCCCAAAAGACCCCTGATGTAAGGTATGAAGGAAATTAATAGAGAGAACGTCTTTCCCTTCTTCCATGAAAAGTGAATGGCATTAAGGGGAGGGTCAGTGGCAGAGCATCTGTTTTGTATGCAGAAGGTTCCAAGTTCAGTCCCCAGCATCTCCAATGAACAGGATCAGGTTGTAGATGATAAAAAAGACCAGAGATCCTGGAAAGCTGCTGCCAGTCGGAGCAGGCAGTACTGACCTTGATAGACAAATGGTCTGATTCAGTATAAGTAGAAAAGAGCAAGAGTCCAGTGGCACCTTAAAGACTAACAAAATATGTGGCAGGGTAGGAGCTTTTGTGAGTCACTGCTCACTTCTTCAGATACCTCACTTCAGTTCAGTTCAGGTATCTGAAGAATTGGGCAGGACTCACGAAAGCTCATACCCCCTGCCACAAATTGTGTTAGTCTTCAAGGTGCAATTGGACTCCTGCTCTTTCCCACTGCTACAGACAGACTAACACGGCTACCCATCTTGATTCAGTATAAGGCAGTTTCATATATTCCAATATCAGCAGCCTCCAGGCTGTGACACGTCAAGCAGTTGATTGGCTTTCCTTGACCCAAGAACCAGCCCTGCATTGAGTAGGTATCATTACCAACCTCCAGGTAGGGCCTGGAGTTCTCCCAGTATTATAAGTGATCTCTGGACTACAGAGGTCAGTTTCCCTGGAGGAAATGCCAGCTTCGATGGGCAGGCTGAATAACATCACATTCCCACTGAACTGCCTCTCCCCCCACACACACACACACACGCTGCCTTTCCCTGGCATCACCCAAAGACCAGGACTTTCACTCACCAGCCGCTTAGGGACATCCAGCTGTTTACGCTCACGTGTCTGGTTCAGATACAGCAACAGGTGGAAGTGCTTCTGTACAGGGAAGTCCCACACCTTCAGTACAGCCTCCACTGCCCCAGTAAAAACCTCCAGCCTGGGCACTACAATTTAAGATATTTATATCAGCCAAGCAATTTGACATCACTAATAATTACAGTGCAGCATAAAACTCTGACTCCAATTTAATACTCATTTCAGATCAGATCGATATAATTTAGCTGGGGGGGGATCACTGAGTTCTCTGTCTCCCTTAAATTCAACAAACTTTACATGTACGCCGTGGTATAGTCAAAAGCATATTTCTATACAAAACTCTAGTACCATAGGAAATGGCAACACAAATTGTGAAAGAAAAATGTAATCCATTACAGTGGTACATGCAGGGGTCATTTCCTGCAAGAGCGCACAGGAGCGGAACTCCAGCAGTAAAGAGCCCAGGGGGTGGGCACATGCAACAAGCCCCCCCCCCTGCTCCCAGCAGCCCTCAGTCAGAGCAAGGAGCAACCAGGTAAGTTGCAGAGCCCCCCCCCCCAGCCCCCCAGTCCAAATCAGTCCAGTGGCACCTTTAAGACCAAGTTTTATTCAGGTACAAGCTCTCCTTCCTCTGCGAGGACAGATCTGCACGTTCCCCCCCCCCAAAATAGCTAGCAATCCAAAACAGTCCAGTGGAGCCTGAGCGGTGGGGGTTGCCTTCTGACACACTTCCGGTGATGTCAGGAGGGGTGGCATATGCAAATAAGTTATGCTAATGAGTTATGCTAATGAGCTCCTGCACCTCTTTTTCTACAAAATGACCCCTGGGTACATGTCCATACAATTTCACATCTCACTTAAAAGTGTAAAACAGCAGTCCGCTCCGTTGGGTAGCAGGGAGATTTAGATCTTTTAGTATAAAGCACAAGGTGGGATCCTGTGACAAATCACCGTGGAGAAGACAATCTCAGAATTCACACAAACACAAAAATCTCTCCCTCTCTACACATCTATAAGCTCTTAGCAGGCCAATTTTTCTATCTGCCTCTGTTCCCTGAGACCTCAACTTACTCTCAACTGCTCTCAGCATTCCATAATGCCTGGAGCATGCTCAGTCCTCATCAGACTTTTGTGAGTCCTTTACCAAGTAAGCTATTTCTGCACACCTGAGTATGTAGATGACGCTACCTTGTCTGTGGGTGGCCAATCTACAGCCACTTCGATGACTGGAATGATCCGGCTGCTTTTATTATTAGAGACAGTAACAAGAATAGAAAACATGAACATATGAAGCTGCCTTACGCTGAATCAGACTATTGATCTCATCACTCCCCCCCACCCCCAATCCTTTTAGCTGGACATTCCAGGGACTGAAACTGGGATCCTCTGCGTGCCAAGCAGGTGCTATGCCGCTGAGCCACAGCCCCTCTGCAAATAACTCAATGCAATGAAACTACAGTTCAAGATTACACTTCAGCACAATACAAAACATTAATTCCACTCCAATGGAACAGATTGTTTTCCCACTTTGAAGCAGTTCCTGGTGTGGGAGCTTGTTGGGAAAATGTAAGTGTACCTCATCAGTACCCATGCCCCTGTATAAAATGATGGTGCAACCTCATTTGGAATACTGTGTGCAGTCCTGGTCACCATACCTCAGAAAGGTTATAATAGCATTGTGGAAAGTGCAGAAAAGGGCAACTAGAAAGATAAGAGGGTTGGAACACTTTCCCTAGGAAGAAAGGTTTAAAATGCTTGGGGCTCTTTAGCTTGGAGAAACGACGACTAAGGGGTGACGTGCTTGAGGTTTATAAGATTATGCATAGGATAGAGCAGGTAGAGAAAGAAGTACTTTTCTCCCTGTCTCCCAATACAAGAACTCGTGGGCACTCCATGAAATTGCTGAGCGGTCGGGTTAGAACGGATAAAAGGAAGTACTTCTTCACCCAAAGAATGATTAACACATGGAATTCCCTGTCACAGGAGGTGGTGGCAGCTACAAGCATGGACGGCTTCAAGAGGGAATTCGATAAACACAAGAAGTGGAACCGGTGATACTCGTCGAGGTGGGGGGAGTATTCCCCACAGCTCCTGGCCTGCAGAAGCAGGAGAAGGTCCTCACTGAGGAGGAGGAGGAGGCGGCCACAGGTGAGCCCAGCACAGCAGCAATGGCGGCAAACCCTGCCCAGGTCCCAGCTGCCCGCCCGCCCATGCTTCTCCCCCCCCCAGCCAGCAGCAACGGTGGCGAGCCCTGTGTGGGTCCCCGCCGCCTGCCAAGTCTTCTCCCACCCCCACCAGCAGCAACAGCAGCAAGCCCTGTACGGCTCCCAGCTGCCCACCCGCCAAGGCTCCCCTGGCTCCCTGCACACTGTGGACTTCATCCTCATCGGGCCTGTGCTGCTTGGGAATTACGTTAACATGCAGTTAGGCCCTCTGGATTCCCGTAGAAGTTTGCACTCATTCAGCAGGGGAGCTGTCCAGACTGAATCTCACACTGGACAAGCAGAAATTTGAACCAACAAAGGTTCAGCAAAGCAGACGTGTATTATAGGATTTGACCAGCATCTGTCTTCACTGAACTCTTCCTACACCTGCAGGCACCTCTTTTGTGGTTCACAGGGTTCATTCCTACCAATAATTTAGGATAAATGGGCCTGTCTGTGCTTGTGCTGAATGCTTCCAAATGACGGCAACAGAATGTACCATGCAAATCAGGACCTATGCAAATCTTCACATTTTCTGAGCATTCAGGAGGCAGGGCCAATGTGTTTTCAGTGTGCGCTCTTGGGGATGCCAAATCCTCCAGTGGATTCCATGCTTGCATACAGTGTATAGAAACAACCAGGGAAACGTTCTGTATATAATGCAATAGATACTATATTGAAATTTTATACAAAGTGTAAATTTATTTTTAAAGTGCATAATTCATAAATTTATAAAATTCCACCTATTAATTCATACATAAGAATCTCAATGTTGTAAACAGATCACAATACATTAAGAGAATCACAATACATCAATATATTAACGAAGCTTCCGGCTTGAGTCTTCGTTTCGCTCCTAAATTTCCTCAGAAGTAAATTCTCTTATGATACCTTCTTTATGATATGTGCTTGTAATGTTTGTCTTGTAGCAAAACGATGAATAAGAGAATTTACTTCTGAGGAAGTTTAGGAGCGAAACGAAGACTCAAGACGGAAGCTTCGTTAATATACTGATGTATTGTGATTCTCTTAATGTATTGTGATCTGTTTATAATATTGAGATTCTTATGTATGAATTAGTAGGTGGTATTTTATACATTTATGAATTAAGCACTTTAAAAATTAATTTACACTTTGTATCAAATTTCAATATAGTATCTATTGCATTATATACACAACGTTTCCCTAGTGGTTCCTATAACTCTGATCTTGTATCAACTGAGAGGTCTCTCATATATTACTTGCATACAGTGTATATGCATAAACATGTGACAGCTTTTTTTTAAAGTATTTAATCCTGCTTCCATATAACTCAAACAATACATAACATAGCATATATTACATACTTCAATACATCGAATGTATTCCCTTTCCCCCCCCAAAAAAAAAACGACCAGCAAACACGGTCGCAGCTCTCCTTCTAAGCTCAGGGCTGCCTACCAGGACTGGCAGTGGCTTTCCTGGATCTCAGGCAGAGAAAAGTCTTACTCAACACCTGAGAAAGCCTTTAATTTGACATGCCAGGAACTGAATTTGGGATTATCAGCCTCTAAAGCATATGTTGTGCCTCCTATGACAGAACCTCTCCCTGTAACTTTAACATTCAGTAAAATAGGGTTGTCAGGTCCCTCCCGGACCACCAGCAAGGGATGGGGCGGTAGGGTTGCCAGATCCAGGTTGGGAAAGAAGAAGAGGAAGAGAAGAGATTGGATTTATACCCCGCCCTTCACTACCCAAAGGTGTCTCAGAGTGGCTTACAAACTCCTTTCCCTTCCCCTCCCCACAACAGACACCCTGTGAGGTGGGTGGGGCTGAGAGAACTCTGACAGAAACTGCTCTTTTTCAAGGACAGCTGTGCCAGAGCTTGTGACTGACCCAAGGTCACATCAGCAGGTGCAAGTGGAGGAGTGGGGAGTCAAACCCGGTTCTCCCAGATTAGAGTCCTCACACCTAACCACTACACCAAACTGGCTCTCAACTGTCTTAATTCATTAATTTATAAAACACCACCTATTAATTCAAACTCCTGGAGTTTGGGGGGAGGAGCCCGGGGAGGACAGGGAGCTCAGTGGGGTACAATAGCCCTAGAGTCCACCCTCCGAAGCATCCATTTTCCACAGGGGAACTGATCTCTGTAGTCTGGAGATTAGGTATAATTCTGGGCAGGGCTATTTTTGGGCAGGAACGCACAGGAACGGAGTTCCGGCTGGCTCCTGAGTTGGCCACACCCAGCAGGGACTCATTAGCATAACAGGCCACACCCAACAGCAGAAACTCATTAGGATTGGCTACAGTATGCGTGTGTGGCCTAACATGCAAAGGAGTCCCTGCAACAAAAAAAGGCCCTGGGTTTTGACAACAAACAAGGTAAACAGAATAAGAAGCAAAAGGTTGGTGTGGCTGGATGACCATACTTCTGGCAACATGGGGCTGCAGCCTAATATGCTAAGGAGCTGTGGTGTCAGGGTGTGGCCTGATAGGCTAATGAGTTTCAGCTGTTGGGTGTGGCCTATTATGCTAATTAGTTCCTGCTGGGCTTTTTCTACAAAAAAAGCCCTGATTCTGGGGGATCCCCAAGCCCCACCTGGAGGCTGGCATCCCTACCTGAGCAAAATCTGAATGTTGGCAAGTTTCATTTGTCTGTAAATATGAGTACTTAATATGCAGAAAGGCCAGCTATACAAATTTGGAGCCCTTTGCGGTCCTGGTATTGATTCTACACTTTGTTCTGCCACAAATATTTGCAATTAGCTGATGCTGGAGACAAACAAAAAACTATGTCCATCCTGCTATGTTTGTGAACTTCACTGGGGCATCTGACTGGCTGATGAACCTTAGGTTTGGGCCCAGAAAGGACTTTTTTAAAATATTCTGAACAAGTTACAATGGAATGGTCTTAATCAAAAAAGGGGTTTGGTTGATTCCTGCCTTCGTCGGAGGAACAGGATGGACTGGATGCTGGCATGGCGACATACCTTGGCAGAGCTGGATCCTATCTTTTGCATTATGCCAGCTGCAGTCTGTGGGCAGAAAACACCAGCAACACAATCAGTAAGGCGGGCCAGAGAGTGGCTATGGCCTGAGGTGGCTCTGACCCCCAGGTGGGCACTCACTTGGTCCGTGGTGTGTGTGTTTTAGCACAGGCACAGATTCATAAGAGGGGTTGGTGAAGGCTGCGAGGTGCAGCTCCCCGCTCAGAGCAACTGGGAAGCAGTCAAAATGGAGAGAGCCCTGGAGAGGAAAGGAACGACGTGAAGACAGGCATACCACTGTCAATGGCCACAGAGCGTTTTTCACCTGTGGTGTGATCCCAACTTTCACATCACATACCAGCATATTATAGACCACCCATCAGTCTTGCACATTCCTTCGTGATCCCAGTATGCTTTTCCAAAGAAAACTTTAATCAAGTAACTAATATTAAGAATCACAAAACAAGAATCTTTGGTTACACATATATGTACTTCCCCCTAGTGCAGGGGTGTCAAACATGCAGCCCGGGGGCCAAATCAGGCCCCCAGAAGGCTTCTATCAGGCCCGCAAAGGACTGGCTGTCTTTTTCTTCCTCCTCCAGTTCTGCTGCTGCGTCATAGCTTGCTTTCCCAGACTCTCTCAATCGCTCAGGAGAGATAGGCAAGCTTCTGCTCCCTGCACTGGGCTGAGGCCCCTCCCCCTCCTCGATTGCAACAGCACAGACATTTTGATGCAATAATTCAGAGCAACAAGTGTCAGTTATCAGAGACTGTTAAATAAACAAAATATTGCAAAGTGCTAATGTTTCAAGCATGTTTTTATTTTAAGTAAAAATAAATCTTTGTGTTTGTGTCCTTTATACAGTTTATATCTCCGCTACCTGGTGTTACATTTTATGACACACATGGCCCGGCCTGACAAAGTCCAATTTATGTCGAATCCGGCCCGCCATAACAAATGAGTTCGACACCCCTGCCCTAGTGTATAAAACCTTTTTAGTAACATGGTACATCTGCAACATTTATTTTATGCGAGTTGTAAATGTACCTGGTCATAGGAATGATGCTTGTAACTGTGTGTCATCCCCATGTATACAAGTCCAATTTTACTAAAAGAGTTTTATACACTAGGGGAAGGTAACCAAAGACTGTTGTTTTGTGATGCATGGGTTTTAATATTTGTAATTTTATTAAAGATTTTGGATTATAATTTTAGCCTTTTTTGGAGACAGTGTTAACTCTATACAAACATTTTTTTAAAAATGCAACCTTTTTGGTTACCTAGTCTGTTCTGGGTTAGAATTCCTTCCTCTGTTTTTGTCTGGTATGCTTCCCACCTTTCAGTTTTGAAAGTAGCACATATACAACCATTTGTTTATACATTCAGCTGTCACATTATTAAAGAAAATCTGCAACCATAACAATACAGATGCATTTGCAAAACTGGGGATGCAGAGATGAAGCAATGTTCTTCCTGCTTCTTTTTTCCCTCTTTCACACAACAGTCCACATTAGCTTATGGAACCCCTTTGCCACTAAAAGTGAAGAAGGATGTAACATTTTGACAGGAGTTTGGAAGTGCCCTCACTAACTTCAGTCTATATGTATCTTTAATTTCTCCTGGGGAGTTACCACTGAAGCACCCTCTTCTGCAGCTTTTTGCAGTAGTCAAGTCTGAATGGGGTCAAACCAGGCATGGATGGTGCTGATTAGCTAGTCCCTGTGTCCTCATCAACCCATCTCCCAATCTTGGATGTAAGGCTGTTACGACTACACACCCTCAGTTCAAAGAATATTGCCAAACCTATCCATGATTGTTGTATGCAGCATTAGTCAACTGAATGGGAAGGAGGGGGGGGGGGGAAACACCGTGCCTACTTGGGATACCAATGATTTACTACCACCTGTCCATTAATAATAATGATGCAATGCATAATCTAGATGTATATATATATGTAGTTAACAATCTTGAATTTAACAGCAATGTGTGCGTCCACCGTAAGAATTAAAAAATCTGCAAGGAAGCCAACCCAGGGCTAGAGTATATCTTTCTAGAAACCTGGGTAACTAGGTTCCCTTCTATACCTATAAAGTGCACAGCACGTTTGAGTATTATAGTGCCTACCGAAAAGGTAGGACAAGTTGGGAATTATTTCCTCAGCAAGCCTGAGGTTAATTACCATCGTTTCCCAGGAAACTAGATCTGTCTTCAAAATGCAGATTGCCACACCGATCCCTTATCTGCACTTTTTATCTAAATAATACACTTCTGAATAACTCGCAAAGGTAAGTACAGGCAACATATTCAACATGAAAGCACATTGAGAAGAAGTATCCCGTGAGGCTGATTTGCACGATGTAATGACTCCTCAAAAGAATGGGGAAGTTTCATGAACTCGGCACATTTTACCTCAGGGAGGACATTGCTTGTACTACCTGCCTCAAATCTTCAATTTGGAGTGGACTACAGCTTACTTAAATAAAGAGAATAGAGATGGTGAGTTCCAGCATTCATCTGAGGGATCTACTGCACGCTCTGCAAAGTTCTTAATCTGGAAGGGTTGCCACGTAATCCACCGCACTTGGAAAATATTGCTATATAGATTGCAAAAGTAGAGCACTTTTTATTTGCTTATTTCTAATCCTAGAGTATTTTGCCACTTGGGTTTTTCCCCCCCAGACATGTCTCTGGCCGTGAGAGGGGAAGGTGCATACATAATCACAGGACACTACTTACCAGAAAGGCCGGAGACAGTCCTCCTCGCACACTGGGCAAATTCTAAAGAGAATAAAAACACAATAAAATTATTATCTTACCTGTTAGCAATACCACAAATAGTAATTGCAAAAAAATGGAGAGACATATCTTGTCCTACATGATCAATGTGGCAAAAAATAATAATTATGGGACCACTTTGTCCTAGGAAAAATCTCATCTCAGTCTATGGTCACGAATTTGTTTCAAACATTATGGTTTCCTTTAATAGGGTATTTAACAGAAAGAAACATAATTCCGGACAACCCGCATTATCAAGATCTGTTATTCTTCTAAGAGGCTTAGTACAGTGTTGTATTGGATGATGTAATTTTGTAATAATTTGAAGTATAACTGACTCTATTGTTTGTAACATGTTCAATTTCAAATAATAAAAATATTATTTTTTTTAAAAAGAGGGGAAGGTGCAGAGATCTGGTGAGCAGAGGGTTTTTTTTTGGGGGGGGGGTTTGCCGTCATGTTGCAGCTGACATACGGCAACCCTTGGGGAGTTTTCAAGGCAAGAGACCTTCAGAGTAGGGTTGCCAGCTCCAGGTTGGGAAATATCTGGAGATTTGGGGGCTGGAGCTTGAGGAGGGCTGGAGCTTAGGGAGGGCAGGAACTTCAATGGGCTATAATGCCACAGAGTCAACCTGCCAAAGGCTTCCTGCAAGTGCCCACAGGAGCGGAGCTCCGGCAGTAAAGAGCCCAGGGGGCGGGCAGATGCAACAAGCCACGCCCCCTGCTTCCAGCAGCCCCGGGCCATGAGGAGTAAGAAGCAGCCAGGTAAGTTACAGAGCCCCCACCCCACCTGGCCTGAGGCACAGAGCCTGGGGAAGGCCTCTGGAGCCCCGCCACCCAGCTTTCCCAGCACCTGGCTGGTTTGGGGTGGCAGCGGGGGCTTGATTGGGGGGTGGGCCATGGGGGATCTGTGCGTTCCCCCCCATAGCTAGCAATCCAAAACAGTCCAATGAAGCCTGAGCAGTGGGTGTTGCCTTCTGACACACTTCCGGTGATGTCAGTGGGTGTGGCATATGCAAATAAGTTATGCTAATGAGTTATGCTAATGAGCTCCTGCACCTCTTTT